GACTATCTGGGTAGCATTTGCAGGGCCCTGGATTTTTTTTGTCTAATACCATAAAAATAAAGGAAGAAAAAAGAAAGAAAAATCACCTCTATTTATCAATATTTTAAATTTCATGATTTCGGTTTTTACCACCCAGTAAGGAAGAATTCAACTCACCACAAGATTAGACAACTTATTGGCAAATCCTGTACCTGACAGACTTGGGCTCTAAATAAACAGCGGTTACAACTCAACCATGTGAGGTCTTTCCTCCACCATGTTCTATGCCACGGGGTGGACTCAGAGGTCAAAAGTGGCTCTCAGGTCATTGGACATCTATGCTAATGGGCCAAGGGCCAGTGGGCTGCTTTTATAAATGAAGTTTTATTGAAACGCAGGTGTGCTCATTCCCGTAAGTACTGCTAAGATACCTTGTCCACACTTAGGAACAACTACACAAACCCAGTGGGCATCCCAACTGAGACCGATGGGTGTACCCCCGTGTTTAGACGGCTGGGTCTCCCCTGGGCCCACGTCTCCAGGTAGGGCACCTGGGTGTTAGGGTCTGTAAACAAGTCTGGATGGCGCCTGGTATTTTGCCAGGGGGAGTGGTTTGTGAAGTAACGCCAGCGAGCCATTAAGCGTGGAGATTCCTGATTGGTTGACTGCTGTATCTAGTTTATGCTAATTAGATAAGCTGTGTGGAATGTGTATATACCCCTCCTGTCCTACAATAAACGGCTCCCACTCCTGCTCTATCAATGTACACAAGTTCCTTGTCACCCCCCCGGTTATTTTGCTGCAGCCGGGCTGCGGCCCCTGGGGGTCTTCCCTGTGCCCACTGTGAGGACTTCCACTCCTCCACTGGCCATTGAGTCTCTGCCAAGTGCTTTTAGGTGAGTGTGTGGATGGATGGGTGGATGGATGGATGGGTGGGTGGATGGGTGGATGGGTGGATGGGTGGATGGATGGGTGGATGGGTGGATGGGTGGATGGATGGGTGGGTGGATGGGTGGATGGATGGATGGGTGGGTGGATGGGTGGGTGGATGGATGGGTGGGTGGATGGGTGGATGGATGGGTGGATAGATGGACAGATGGACAGATGGATGGTGGATGGTGGATGGATGGTGGTGGATGGATGGGAGGGTGGATGATGGATGCCTGGATGAATGGAGAGATGGATGGATGGGTGGATGGATGGAAGGGTGGGTGGATGGGTGGATGGATGGGTGGATGGGTGGATGGATGGATGGGTGGGTGGATGGGTGGGTGGATGGGTGGATGGGTGGATGGGTGGATGGGTGGATGGGATGGATGGGTGGATGGTGGATGGGTGGATGGTGGATGGGTGGATGGATGGATGGGTGGGTGGATGGGTGGATGGGTGGGTGGGTGGATGGGTGGGTGGGTGGGTGGATGGATGGATGGGTGGATGGATGGATGGGTGAATGGATGGATGGGTGGATGGATGGGAGGGTGGATGATGGATGCCTGGATGAATGGAGAGATGGATGGATGGGTGGATGGGTGGATGGGTGGATGGATGGGTGGGTGGATGGGTGGATGGATGGATGGGTGGGTGGATGGGTGGGTGGATGGATGGGTGGGTGGATGGGTGGATGGATGGGTGGATAGATGGACAGATGGACAGATGGATGGTGGATGGTGGGTGGATGGATGGGTGGATGGATGGATGGGTGGGTGGGTGGATGGGTGGATGGGTGGATGGATGGATGGGTGGGTGGATGGATGGATGGATGGATGGGTGTATGGGAGGATGGATGGGTGGGTGGATGGATGGATGGATGGGTGGATAGATGGACAGATGGACAGATGGATGGTGGATGGTGGGTGGATGGATGGTGGATGGTGGATGGGTGGATGGATGGATGGATGGGTGGGTGGATGGATGGGTGGATGGATGGATGGATGGGTGGGTGGATGGATGGGTGGATGGATGGGTGGGTGGGTGGATGGATGGGTGGATGGATGGGTGGGTGGGTGGATGGATGGGTGGATGGGAGGTTGGATGGGTGGGTGGATGGATGGATGGATGGGTAGATGGGTAGATGGTGGATGGATGGGAAGGTATATAGATGGATAAATATATGGATGAGGGAGGGATGGATAAATGGATCAATGGATTGATGATGGATGGATAGGTAATGGACTGATGGATGGCGGGTGGATGGATAAAGGGTGACTATCCTTCTGTCCTGACATAGCAAACTTCCCATTCAGTGTGTCTTCATTTCTTTCCACAAGACCAAGCAGTGAGAACTGGTAGTTGGTGGGAAATTCAGAATTAGGCCAGTGGCTGAGTTACGGCTTCAGGTGGCTGCACTCACATGGGACCGTAAATGCAGAGCAAGACTCTGTCCATCAAGATGGGGTCCCAAACCAAGTCTGTTTGGTTCTCTTCATCATGTAAATTGGCCCAAACAGTGAGAGTTAGAGGAGCTGCGAGAGCAGTCCTCAGACAGAGGTGCTCTGACCGGTCAGGTGTTGACACGTCCTGCTGGGACCTGTGCAGCCGAGTCTCCCTGTTCATGGGGACGGACCTCCCATCAGCTGTGGTCAGTCAGGGCTGACCATGATGGAGGAAGGCTGCTGATGACCAGGAGGGGTGAGGAGGAGAAGGAGGAGGAGATGGAGGAGGAGGAGGAGGAGGAGGAGATGCAGGAGGAGGAGGAAGAGGAGATGGAGGAGGAGGAGATGGAGGAGGAGGAGATGGAGGAGGAGGAGATGGAGGAGGAGGAGATGGAGGAGGAGGACGAGGAGGAGGAGATGGAGGAGGAGGAGATGAGGAGGAGCAGGAGGAGGAGGAGGAGGAGGAGATGGAGGAGGAGGAGGAGATGGAGGAGGAGGAGGAGGAGGAGGAGGAGGAGGAGGAGGCACCCCCAGGGCTGATTCAACTACCGAGAAGTGGGAGAGGAATCTGTCCCTAAACAGAAGGGCTCCCACATGGTTCCTCTTTTCGCTTTCTTACAGGAACCGAGAAGCTGGAACTGGGCCGCAGCTTACTTGGAACAGGGCCACCCACCCTCCCGACCGCAGGCCAGGACTGGTGCCGGGAGGACGCCCTGGATCCGCGCAGCGGTACCTGATCTGCCCGCGGAGGGCTGGTCCCGTGTTTCCGTGACACTCGATGCTCCTCTTTGCACAGAGGGATTGTTTCCCTGGTATCACCTGGTGACACTTGCTACCAAATCCTGTGACGCCTGGCCCAGCAGGATGGCCCGGTGTCTGGGGCACACAGAGCCGTTAAAAATGCATGGAATAGACTACAGCCCTGTACAGAGCCCGGTGGACGCTCCCTGGTCCGAGAATCCTGCAGGAACCCGTGCGCTCTTCCTCTTAGATTCTGCATTCCACGTCGTCCGCTGGTGACTGTCCCCCTTGTGGTCCTCCCCATGTTGGCCTGACATCCCAGCGGCTCAGGAGGCTGAGGCAGGAGGATCGTGAATTTAAAGCCAGCCTCAGCAAAGGGAGGCCCTGAGCAGCTCAGGGAGACCCTGTCTCTAAATAGAGTTGCAAAATAGGGCTGGAGACGGGGCTCAGGGGTCGAGTGCCCCTGAGTTCAATCCCTGGTACCAAAAATATAAAATAAAATAAAATAAAATCTGTGATGCATAAAATGACAAATTTGCGGTAGCAACGGGCCCCACAGGCTGTGCCCTGGAAGGTGACTGTCTCCTCCCGCCTGCCGTGAGTGATTGACAGTTCTGCTCCCTGTGGACCCACTTCCCTTGTGGCCTGATTTCCCCTCCTCTTAGCTTCTGGGGACTCCCTGGTCACCCACCTTGCACTTCCAGTGCCCTCTCCGCGGTCCTGACTACTCTGCCCTCTGGTCTCCAGGGTGGGGCTCTATCCCTACAGCAGCCACCTGATCCCCACGGGGGGGGGGGGGGGGCTTCCTAGGACCCTGTGGGCTACACCCCCAGGGATCCTGATTCTTCCAAGGCTCAACAACAGCCTGAGAACTGGAACTTGTCACCCACTCCCTGGGGACGCAGCTGCTCCTGGCCCAGGAGACCCGTGTCTGAGAGCTTCCGTGTGAAATCACAGCGGGGCGGTGGGGGGGGGGGGAAGACCCCAGCTCAGCCCTCTGAGGACAGAGACGGCTTGGATGGTCTCCGTGAGGCTGCTTCTTTGGTGCTTCTGTGCTTAGTGTTGACGTGTCATGACCTTGTAACCTCCCTGTCTGGATGTTCAGGGTGTGGACTGCACAATGCTACCTGGGTAAAGATGTGCATGTGCATTGGCTCCCGGCCACCAGGAGCTACCCCATTCCTGCCAGGCGAAGTCTCCGGCATTATTATTTGCAGACTCAGGGAGACCCTGGTTTCTCCGGCCTCAAGCTGTCTGTCCAATGTAGCCCCTGAAGGTCACCTCTCTGTCTCCTGGTGAGTCCTGTCACCCAGGAGCCTGCAAGATGGTGCCCTTCTAACCCATAGCACAAACTACGCAGATAAAACCTCTGGTCACCAGGAGCAAACCGGGGTCCAGGGGCCTGGTCTGGTGGCCTTCACTCTTCTTTGCACAAGAGAATCCCCCAGGGAGAAGCTCAGGCCTGGACCCCGCCCCAAATCCATGGAACTCCCCCCTCCTGGGGTGAGGCTGCCTCCAACCAAGTCCCTGGTGATCTGTGGCATAACAGCTGCAGGGCAGGCTCTATCTATCACCCGTCCATCCAGCTGTCATCTGCCTGTCTGTCTGTCTGTCTATCTATGTATCTATCTATCATCTATCCATCCTGTCCATCTATCTCTCTGTCATCTACCCATCCTGTCTGTCCAAGTGGCTCTCACACCCTGGGTGGGGCTGCTCCTGGCTCCTGGTGTGTGGGGCCCAGAGAGGCTGCTCCACCTCCTGCAGCGCACAGCACAGCCCACCCCAGAGCACCCCGAGCCCCAGAGGCCCCCAGGCTGAGGCTGAGCACCCTGTGATTAAAAAACAGGATGTCACACGCAGCAGAGTGAGTGTCATCAGACAGAAAGGAGCCATCTGCGACTCCTCCGTACTCCTTTCTCTGGACCTAGAGATCTACTCTGGGCCTCCGTGTGCAGAGACACAGAATCTCCCTGAGTTGCTCAGGGCCTCGCTTTGGCGGAGGCTGGCGTTGAACTCGCCATCCTCCTGCCTCAGCCTCCTGAGCTGCTGGGAAAACAGGCGTGGGCCACCGTGCCTGGCTGATTGACATTTATAATATATTCAATTTCCTCTTATTAACTCAGAGGACCTGTTTATTTTTGCAGCTGATTTCATATTTATAAAACTTGCCTCAACTCCTCTTGGGTGCAGAAGAAGCTCCAGACCTGAAGGACACACGTTCTCAGTGCTTTGTCCCTCCATCTGGGAGCATTTTTTCAGGAACTCTTGAGACGAGCTGGGGAGGTGGCCAGCCCGGGGACTTCTGTCCCCTTGGAAGGATTCCGGAAAGCGAGTCCATAGCTACTTTGCAACAATGTTGCAAGCAGAGCTAAAAAGCAGGCAGCAAAAAAAAAAAATTGATTAAAAAATCTGTATATTTTAGGAGCTTTTCAAATCCCCAAAAGCACCAACACAGCATCACTTTTCTAGTCACCGACATTGACAAGCAATTTTTTTTGCAAGACGATGATGATTTCCTGCGCCAATAGGACTTCAGTTACACGTGGCCAACTTCTGGTCTAAATATAACAGATGGAAATTTCCAGAAATAACAACGCAAGACTTAAAAGCACTCGTCCTTCCTTCCGAGCAGCTAATGCAATCTTGCAGGTTCACCTCCCACAGCGCCCCCTGCAGGAATCATCCCTTTGGTGCAGTGTGTCCCTGCTGTATAGGCTACACTCCTGGTGGGTACCCAACAGGAGTGTAGCGTATACAGCGCGGACACACTGCAAAGGGAATGATGGTTGTCTAAGCAACCGTCATAGCATTGTAGATTGTGAGGAAATCATGCACATGGAGCAACCTAATGTTGGGTACCTGGCCCTCGACCCCTGAGCCCTGTCCCCAGCCCTATTTTGCATTTTATTTAGAGACAGGGTCTCCCTGAGTTGCTTAGGGCCTCGCTTTGGCTGAGGCTGGCTTTGAACTCGCGATCCTCCTGCTCTACAGAGGAAGGAAATAGAGGCTGCAAAACACTCTGCATCCACGGCTGGCACAGTGTGCACCCTCACCCCCCTTCTCTTGGCTCAGGACTAGATCTACCCACAGGGAGGACCTTGGCCCCTGGGGACCTGTTTGTTTCCATTTCAACACAGGACCTGCTCTGCGGAGCCCCTGGGTCCCCGTAGTCCCCACCCCCAAACAGAAATACGCCCCGTCTAAACAGGAAGGTGGTGGCCTTGTCTGAAGTCTGGACTGTTTCTTCATGAGGGTGGAAGGAATGCAACTCGGGTGGCTGCCTGTCATCCCAGGAATCGGGGAGGCTGAGGCAGGAGGACGGTAAGTTAGAGTCCAGCCTCAACTCAGCCGTGCCAAAGGCACCCAAGGGTCTCAGGGACAACCTCCCCAAACGGGCAGGTTTGTTCTGAAGACGGATCTTTTGACCCCAGCGAGGCCAGCATTAGGGAGGCCATCAGCGTGGAGGTAAGATGGAGTCAGGTCGGATCCAGGAGGCCCGTTCTGAGCGAGTCCGGGGAAGTTGGAGGCTGCCCCCCCCCCCCAGGGACTGAAAGAGCCCTTCCCCCACTCTTATCAGGAACCTGACCCTGCTCCAGCCTGTTGCTATGGGCACCAGTCCTGGGAGCTGTCCCTCCCTGCAGGGAGCCACAGGGTTGATAACCCAAGTGTCCCCAGCTGAGAGAATTTTAATTGCTTTTCTGTCACACAGAGAAACTCTCATATAAGCTATTTTTTTTTTAAATAGAACCTGGGGATTATTTCATAAATATAGAAACCTGTCAAACATTTCTCTTTAAAATCCACATGTTTGAGTTTCCTTTTCCCGGACGCATCTCAAAGCATCTTGGGACAGAGAAGTGTTCTTATAAATAAGTTAAAAAAAAAAAGGAGAAGTCATTAGCAGGCAGAGTCACACACAGGCCATTTTTAGTCTCATGAGCTGTTCTAATTATACCGAAGAAGCCACCAAAAGAAAGAAGAAGAAACAAATCAGAGGGGAAGCCAGGCGTGGTAATGCGCGCCTGCGATCCCAGCACTTCAGGAGGCTGAGGAGGGAGGATTGCAAGTTGGAGGCCAGCCTCAGCAACTTAGCAAGACCGTGTCAAAAAAAAATAAAATAAAATAGAAATTCAAGGCGGACGATGTCGTTCTCCCTCAACTATGGGGCACACGCTTTTCTAGCCGCGTGTTGAGTTCCTTTTGCCTCCACCGGACTCAGAGATGCAGAAAGAAGTTGAGCAACAGGGAAGAGAAATCCGATCTGCGAGCCCCGGGGGGCGCCCTGCGCTCAGCCTGGGCACTCGGCTCCCTCGCTGGCCGGGCCAGGGACCTGCCCTCCCGCGGGCGCAATGCCGTCTCCCCCTGGTGACCGCGGGCGCAGGGAGCCGGGCGGCCGGGCTCGGGTCTCCAACGCGCGTCCGCGCTCCAAGGTCTTTAGACAAATGCTCTCCGCAGCCTTTCCAAGTGGGAGATGCGAACAGCATAGAAAAAAGCTGAGAGAGGGAAAAATAATAATAATAAGTCCCCCTGTTTGGTCCCCACCCCCTCCGGACCTCGGCGAGCACCGGTGACCTCTAGAGCGAAGTGCGCAGACCTGCTCCTGACCACGGAATGGAATGCGCTCTTGGAACCCTGGAACCCTGGGGCCTGAGCCTCTTCTTTGCAACCCAACTTTGAGATTATGTCACAAATACCTAGAAATCGCCTTCTTTGAAAAAAAATATGTTTTGAGCTCCGTGGTGAAGAGCGCCTGAGTCCAATCCCCAGTCCAAAAAAAGTCAAACTCAAGTCGCCAAATTAAAAAAAAAGAATGAAAAAAAAGAATGCGGGTCGAATTGGGATGTTGGATAAAGAAGGAATAATTTATTTAATAGAAGAGTTGTCCCTTGCAGGGTGCGGTGCACACGCCTGTCATCCTGGGAGATGGGGAGGCTGAGGCAGGAGGATGGTGACTTGGAGGCCAGCCTCAGCAATTTAACAAAGGTCTAAGCAACTCAGAGAGACCCTGTCTTTAAACAAAATGTAAAATAGGGCTGAGGAGGGGGCTCAGGGGTCAAGCACCTGTAGGATCCATCCTTTGTACCAAAAAAAAAAAAAAAATCAACGGGGTGTTTGGTATAAGTAGGTCCCAAATATTACTTGAGATGTACTTATACCATATATGTATATTGTGGATAAACCTGTTTACACCTAGCACACTGGGAATATCTGCCTCATTTTGCAGGAAGCTAAGGTTCAGCTGGGGTCCTGCTCTTTCTGCGGCTCCCCCTGGCCCCTGCTCAGGGGACCCGGCAGACAGCTCAGCAGAGCCTCCAGGGCCACACCCTGGTCTTGAAGTCAAGGTCCCTCCTCAGCCGCCCAAGGACAGGCAGCACCTGCTCACAAACAAGGGCCCTGTGTTTCCTGAGAAGCTCTGACTCACGCTTCCCGCCCTGGGGCTGTTTTCCAGATGCACTATCCATGCAAGGTCTGTGGGTCACCTGGACGACCAGCTCTTCCTCTTTCTGTGGTGACTTCTCTCTCCAGCCCCATCTCAATTTCCAGCTATCGAAGGATCCATCCGTGGATTCATCCAGCATCCATTCATCATCCACCCACCCACCCATCCAGCCACTCATGCACCCATCCATCCACCCATCCATCCTGTTATGAGAGGTGTAGACTAATAGTGGATTAATCCACTTGGATGGACTCACTGGGTGGTGACTGCAGCAGGTGGGGGGTGGCTGGAGGAGGGGGTCCCTGGGCTGTGCCTTTGGGGTCTCTGTCCTGTCCCTGGTGAGCAGAGCTCTGTCTGCTCCCTGGTGCCCTGTCCTGAGCTGCTCTCCTCCTCCAGGCCCTGCCGCCATCTTGTTCTGCTCCCCTTGGGCCAGAGCCATGGAGTCGGCCACCAGGGACTGGACCTCGGAAACCGTGAGCCCAAATAAAAGGTCCCCATCTTTTAAATAGATCCAGGCATTTTGATCACAGAAACATAACGCCCAGCAACACATTCTTTGAGCGTATGGGAATCTGGAAACCAAACCCCTACAGATAATGAAGGATGATTTTATATACATACACACACAGAGAAAAGTTTGCAAACAGATATAAAAATGAGTTTATATATTTATGTTTGTCTATATATGCATCTGGGGGTCTAAATCCATTTTTTAATATATGTGTGTGTGTATATAGATATCTCTATATACGTGTGTGAGTTTGTGTACGTACATAAAAACATGCATATTTTTCTAGACGATGTGAACAGAAATGTGCCTTTTTTTTTTAAATTCCTTAGGAAAGTGTCCTTATTCCAAGTGACATTATTTTATATTAATTACGTAGAAGTACTTTCATTATTCCTAAGACCTACTATAACATAATAATGTAAACAAATGCTTATTATTATATTTTAAACCTTCATATTTTTTTTATCTAATCTTTGATGCTTTTATTTTCCAACATAGATTTTTTTTTCTTATATCAGGGATTGAACCCAGGGGTGCTTAACCTCTGAGCCACATCCCCAGCTCTGTATTATTATCTATTGTTGTTATTATTATTATTATTATTATTATTATTATTATTATCATTTTCGAGGCAGGGGGTCTTACCAGGTTGCTTAGGCCTCACTAAGTTGCTGAGGCTGGTTTTGAATTTGCCATCCTCCTCCCTCAGCCTCTTGAACCTCTGAGATTACAGACGTGTGTCTCAGGGCCTGACCTCCAACACAGATTTTGACACATCAAAATTTTATTTTAGTACCAGTAGCCAAGAAGGAAGTAGCTTACAACCATTTTTTTTTTTTTTAATTAATCACTAGGCAGTTGTCTGAACATCTGTCATCGGCTCCCCAACATGATTTTTATTTTTATTTGTTTACACTTTTGATTAACAGGCATTCGTTGTACAGAGTGGATGGGGTTCCGTGTGGTATCTGTACACACGCACAGGAGGTGCACTGATCAAATCCAACTTCTCCTCCCCAGCCCTCTCTCTCCAACATGGGCCTTCCCGACTGTCTCCAAACCCCACCCTCTGCTGGAGACGCGAGGGCGCTGAGTCATCCTCCAGGGAAGCCTCGGAGTCGCCCAAGTTCATCTCCAAGGTCACCGTGCTTATGGGGTTTTTATTTATCTCGTCTCCCTGGCTCCCAGGCAAACTCGGTTTCTTCCTTGGTGACCTCGGGCTGGTCCACGCTGCAGACTGGCTCCCCCGGTGGGCGGGGCTGGCAAGCGAGCTTGCTCCAGGGGGTCCCTAAAAACTGCTTCCTCCTCTCTTTAGACATTAAGAGCCAGGCACAGCAGTGACACACGCCTGTCATCCCAGCGGCTGGGGAGGCTGAGGCAGGAGGATCGCGAGTTCAAAGCCAGCCTCAGCCAAAGGGAGGCCCCTAAGCAACTCAGGGAGACCCTGTCTCTAAGTAAAATACAAAATAGGGGCTGGGGAGGGGGCTCAGGGGTTGAGGACCCTGAGTTCCATCCCAGTACCCTCCACTAGCCTCAAAAAATTAAAAAAATAGAAATTAAGCAAGAAATTAAGGTAAATACCCAGCACAGCTTTGTAGCCAGGGGTAGGGAGTCAGGTTTCTCAATCCTCCATGAAACCAGTTCGAGCCTGTTCTGAAGTGTCTCTGGGTTTCCATAAAAGTCGACCCGCTGCCAGGAAAAAAAAAAAAAAAAATGAGAATAAAAATGTAAACGGGAATGAAATGAAAAATGTACACATCCTCCACCCGCAGGGCAGACGGGGGCCATTCTCCTAAGGACTGGGGGGGGGGGGGATTTGCACACGTCCCTGTGTGTCTCAAAATGCAACCGGAAGCTTCCCATTTTGGAGACCGTGGTGCAGAATCTGACAGTGTCCGTGCACCTTGTCTTTAGATGCTAGAGGTCTCTTTCCTTCATAGTCAAAACTGCCTTAAAAAAATGGGGTCACTTTGCACACGCATTTTTATTTCTTCTCCTCTGCATGCTGCAAAGTTGACTTTGAAAAAATAAATCGCTCCGTGCAGAATCCGGAGAACCCCAACTGTGCCATCCTAGGTATCCCACCAAGGTTTTTGTGCTTATTCACATAGGGGCCCCAAGCAGGTGACAAGGGTTTGTTCTGAGGGTGCCGCGAAGGTGGCTGACTTCCACTTCTGGCCTCCGCTGCGTTACTTTAAAATGTATTTATTTGTTTGATGGCGCTGGCTTCGAACCTGAGACCTCCATACTGCGGAAATCTGCCACCTAGCCACATCCCCAGCCACTCTTATTTATTATAAATTAACTTTACATATGAATGACCCCCGGCTGGATCCCATTTCAATCTTTCCTTTCTATTCCAACAAGTTCTTGACATTTTTTTTTTTCCTATTCTGTGGGATCTCCGGTTCCATTTCTAGGAAAGGTAGAAGACCCTTCCATTTGTATAGAGAATGAATAGCCCCCCTTCTTTCTGTTAAGCTTGATACCCCCATTTCAAGATGATTATTTCATTTTTCTTTTTCTTGTAATGTCTTTTGGGATTTTTTTTTTCTTTTGGGTACCAGGGATTGAACTCAGGGGCCCTCAACCCCTGAGCCCCGTCCCCAGCCCTATTTTATATTTTATTTAGAGACAGGGTCTCCCTGAGTTGCTTCGGGCCTCGCTTTGGCTGAGGCTGGCTTTGAACTCGCGATCCTCCTGCCTCAGCCTCCGGAGCAGCTGGGGTGACAGGCATGGACCCTGGGCTGCTCCTCGACCCCTAGACACAAGGTGCACTAAGTTGTTACAATGTTTCCTGGGGATGCTCTTGAGTTCCTTAAAGGTTTGGATTTAGGGATGAGCCAAATGGATTCCAAATGTGGCAGTTTCCTGTGTCCCCACGGCGACCACTTGATTGACAGTTCCCATCCACTTAGCAGCTCTCTATCTAGGTCCAGAGAATCTGAATATTTAAAGGAAACCCACCCCGTGGATGATCCCAGAAGGGGCCAGATGGATCTCCGTGATGACCCTACTCTTCCGTCACCTCTGTCACCAACTGACAAACTTATTATTCTTTGGCTAAACTATGATCTTTGCCACTCAGATTCAGGAGTCCAGTGAGACCACCCAGCAAAGGGCGCAGAAATCAACGCCTGGTTTGGGGAGGCTCACCCCCACCAGCTCAGCGTCCCTGAAATAAAACCTCTAATGAATCTCTAGGTGACGGGTCAATTTGGCGCCTACTAATTGCAGGCCACCGACCGACCCACGGTTTCCTAGACAGTTTTCTTTGGAATCACTCACGAAAAGCCTCTGAGTCAACAGACACAGGGAGAAGTGATATTTTTAGGTCTCCCTTGGAACCGGAATCAAACCAACTTGTATTCTTTTTCACATTTGCAGATTTTTATTTTTATTTTAATTCGCTTTGGCGGTTAAACCCAGGGGGTGCTTAACCACGGAGCCCCATCCCCAGCCCTTTTTATATCTTATTTAGAGACAGGGTCTTACTGAGTTGCTCAGGGCCTCGCTAAGTTGCTGAGGCTGGCCTCCAACTCACGATCCTCCAGCCTCAGCCTCCCAAGTTGCTGGGATTACACAGATGTACCCCTGCATCCAGATTTTTAGTCCGGATACAGGGTTTGGCTCAGTTGTGCGGACTGGCCCCCATTTTTTTTTTGTACTGGGGAATGAACCCGGGGTGCTTGACCACTGAGCTACGTCTCTGACCCTTTTTATTTTTAATTAGAGACAGGGTCTGCCTAAATTGCTCAGGGCCTCACTAAATGACTTAGGCTGACCTTGAACTTGCAATGCTTCTGCTTCAGGAGATGGGATTACAGGGGTCTCCCGACTCCAGATTTTTTTTTGTTTTTGTTTTTTTTTTTGCATTATTGGAACCAAGGTATCTCCCACCGGGCTGTGACCCAGCAATGTGTTTTATGGTTTTTTATTCTTTTGAGAAAAACACATAAAATACAATGGAAGGTACAATAAGTACCCTACATTAGCATATATATTTATAAAATGTAAAATATATGGTAAAAGCACTTACTATTTTCACTCTTATTTGTTATTTTTTTCTGCATCAGGGATTGAACTCAAGGACACTCGACCCCTGAGTCCCGTCCCCAGCCCTATTTTGCATTTTATTTAGAGACAGGGTCTCACTGAGTTGCTCAGGGCCTCGCTTTGGCTGAGGCTGGCTTTGAACTCAGGATCCTCCTGCCTCAGCCTCCTGAGCCGCAGCATGACAGGCGTGTGGCACCGCGCCCGGCATATATTATTTTTTTAAATACTATATGTATTTTGCACATATATAAAACAGTACATATTGCATACATCACATATATGCAAATACTCATACGCATACTAGCACATGCATTTAACTTGGTTTATCAATTATTGCTTAGGTGCAGGTACATGCAAAGACACCGAGTATCCTAATCCCCTGTAAGAAGTGTTCAGTGGCCTTGGGGACTTGACTGCGTGCACAACACCTGTTCCTAGGACTATTTTGCAAGCACAGTTCCATCAGCTTAGGGGCAGGGAGAGACTCATTCCTTGGCTATGACAGAGCTCCTTGACCACCAGAAAACAATCCTGCTCATGCCCACCTTCAGGGGATTTTGCTTTTTCTAGTCCGTCAAGTTTTGGGATGTGGTTTCCAAAGAATTTTTCCCCCTTTTTTAAGATCCGCCCAGATGCAAACTGCTTTGTTGCAAAACACACTGGTGCTATTGATAGGAAGGGGTAGGCACGTGGGCCGGGGTAGGGATGCGGGCCAGCTCAGGGTGGGCGAGGTCCCATCAGAGCCACCGGGCAGCCACCGAGAAGGGTTGAGACCTGCACGTTCCCCTCTGTGTCTACCTGAATGCACTTTGCAAGCAAAAACATGTGCGTGCCCGCGTGCATTCCGAGCCTCGGTGGCAAAGGCTTGATTCGCTGGACGCGTCGCATTTCTGGGGTCAGATCCGAGTGCAGAGGAGGTGGGTTTGGGAGCCTCGATGTGCAAGACCTCGGCTGGCCCCCAGTCCCTTCAGCAGGGGCGCGTGTCCTGGGCCTAACCCGGCGCACAGAGTGTCACTAGACGGTGCACATTTTTTGCATTCCATTCCGGCTGAAAGCCGGTCTCCCAGCCCCGCCCCCCCCAGGAACCTGCCACCCACAAGATGCAGGTGGGGGATGGTAGCCAGAGCCCAGAAAGCCACACCCAGAGCCCGGGTTAGACTTCCTGTCGCCCCCTCGCTGCTGGCTGTGCGGGGTGGTATGGCCTGATTTCCTTAAAAATGCTCCTCTGTGGCTTACACAGGAGGCCCGGGGCTGGGGACAGTCCCTCCAGCCACAGACTACCTGGCGTCCCTCAAAACCATGTATACTTCTGCCCTCCTGCCACTCAAACCCTGCTCCGACCTGAGGGTCAATCAGCGGGTGACATCTAGGCCGCTCCCGCCCAACCCAGGCTGCTTTTAACTAGATCCCCAGGGAAGGGGGTGGCCACTCGCCCGGCGTCCAGTTGCACTTGAAGTGCACGCACAGAAGAGTCCTTTTAAAGCCTGTGGCCAAGTGTGTTTGTGTGTGTGTGTGGGGGGGGGGGCAGGTTTTCACCGGCCAAAGGCAAACGACCGTGGTGCATCTGAAACTAAAATGTCTGCAGCTGTTCCCGAGTGGTCAGAGACTGTCCCTGGGTTGGAACGGTGGCCCGTCGGGCCGCCCGCCCTGTGTGCTGTCGCTGTATCGCTTGAATGCTTCTCTCTTTTTTTTTAGTAAAATATTTATTTTGAAATAATCATAGACTCACAGGAAGCTGCCGAGAGCGCCCAGGGAGGTCCCTCTGTCCCTCCTGTGCCCCCAGATCGAGATCTCTCAATCCCCGGAGTCGGGGGGGGGGGGGGCAGAAGCAGGAAGCCCCCTGGGGCGGGAGCTCTGGCCTGTCCACCCGCTGCACCGAAGGAGCCTTCGCGGGGTTCGCTGGGCACCGCGCGCTTGGGGACCCTGGGGTTGGCGGAGCTGCGGGCGACCAGCACCGAGCTCCGTTTTCACTTCTGTTTTTAAACTTTACTCGGGTCCCCGCCCCGCCCGCCCGGCCCCGCCCGCTTCCCGCCTCTCCGCCGGGGGGGGGGGGGGGGCTGGGGCGCGGCGACCTGGGTGGTGGCCGTGCGCGTCGCCGGGGAGCAGGGTGGGGACCCCGCGCGGGCGCGCCCTGGGCGCAGACGGGCCGCGGCAGCTCCGGGCGCCCTGGCCGCGCGGCTCGGGGCGGGGCTGCGCGCGGGGCGGAGCGCGGACCGGACACCGCCCCCGGGCTGTCCCCGCGCGCCCGGCCGCGCTCGCGCTCCGGGGATCGCCCCGCCCTGGCCGCTTCCGCCCGGGCCCCCGCTCTCGCCGGTGGGGGCCGGCGCTGCCCGTGGCTGGTGCGCGACCCGAGGAATGAACAGGGAGCCCGGCACCCGCGGCCCGGACCCCGCCTCGCCCTGCGCCCCGGCCACGCCACCGCCTCCACCATCTCCTCCGCCTCCACCGCCTCCACCGCCTCCTCCGCCTCCACCGCCCTCGCCACCGCCCGGCCCGCGCCGCGCCCCGGAGGCCGCCGGCTACTCCCACCAGCTGCTGCTGCTGCTCCTGCACTGAGCGCCGCCCCGCGCTGCGCCTTTGTCCCCGCCGCGCAGGGCCGCGCACCCGGAGGCGCCGGGCGGGCATGGGTGGCCTCCGCTGATGCCGCCGCCGCGCCGCCCTCCGAGGCTGCGTCTCGGGAAGCCCAGCGGCCCGCGGCCCGCGGCCGGCAACGCGCCCCCATGGAGGCGCCGGAGCTGGCCGCGGCGGCCGCGGCGGACCCCGAGCCTCCGGCAGCCGCGGGGCGCACTCCCGACGGGGCGCCCGCGCCCAGCCCCAGCCCCGAGGCGCCCTCGCCCGAGCCGCCCGGCTACGCCCTGCAGGACTTCGACATCCTGGCCACCGTGGGTGAGTACCACGCGCGACCCCCGTGCGCCCGGGACGCTGAGGTCAGACCAAGGGCCCCCGGAGAGTGGCCCCGCTGCCCCTGCACCGAGGCTCCTCCAGGTCGGAAGGCAGCCCCCCCCCCGCGCCCCGGTTTCCCTCCCTAAGTTTCTGATGGTGTCCTCGCCCCCCCTCCCCATAGCAACGCCACCCAGGCGACTGGGCGGCTGAGCGTCACAGAAGTTACTGGGAGCCACCAAACACTGGGGACCTCGCGCGCAGTGCTCAGGCTGCGACCCCCAGGGGCAGGCGGCGGCTCCGAAGGCACCTGCGGAACTGCCCCAGGGCCGCCTGTCACCGAGCTGAGTGGGAGACTAGCCCCGCGTGGAGCGGACGGGTCCCTCCCCGAGTGGCCGAAGCGCAGGGCTTGGGGGGGGCACAGGTGTCCTGCAGCGCCTGGGGACCCGGGGTGCGGCTTGGGACTGAGTGGGGGCCCTTGCTGCATACCGAGTGCGCCTTTCTGTCCCGTGCGTGCGAAATTTGGGGTTCTTTTATTGGCTGCGCCCTGGGCCTCGGAACTGGACCCGACCGGGCAGCTGGAAAGGTCGGGTTCAGGTTGTCCGGGGCCCCGAGGTCCTGGGCAGGGGCTGGCGGGTCCGAAGACGGACATGGGCGCCCCGTTTCGACTGTTGGCACCCACCCGCCGGCCCGTGGCTTTTTAGCGACACTGTGTTGCTAAGGGTGTCACCGAGGCTTGTCGCTTGCCAGGAAAATCAGCGGAGGAGGGGACAGGGCGTCCTGTGTGTGTCCACGGGGCAAGGGCTGCTCCCGGGCGCTTGCTGGGTGGAGACGCGGAGGGGCGCGGGGTGACAGCCGCACTGTGTTGTCTGCCTCTACCTCCCCGCCTTCCTGTGTCTCCCTGTCCCCTGGGTGACTGTCCCTCCTCCCTCCCCCTCTCTCCCCGGAGGCCGGGCAGGGCGCATCTCCAAGCTGTTTTGCTGTCGAAGAGAAGGGCGGGGCGCGGCTCCCCTAGCTCTGATCCAACAGTGGTGGCCGCACACCCAGGTCAACAATGGGAACTGCACCGGGGTCGCCTGTCCCTGTCACACGGTGCACTTGCAGAGGGTCAGTTGGGGAAAGGCTGGGGGTCTGCAGGCCAGGTCCCCAGAGGTGAGGGGTTTGGAGTGTGCGGCCACAGAGCCTGTGTTTGACATCACCGTGGCTCCAGGTGGCCCGCTAGTGAGCGTCATCCTTAAAAAACAGAACGTGGCTGCCTCTGGGGACCACCCCTAGGGACCCAGGGGGCTGGGCAGGAGTTACAAGCTCATTTTTGCTGCAGTTGTTTGTGCCGGTCCACAAAGAAGGACGATCAGGTGTTCCTGGGGGACCTAGGATTACCGTGTTCCAGGCGTTGGGCAGGCAGGAGGACAGGACCCCAAGCAAAACCCGCCCCACACTGAAACATTCTTTCCTCATCCCAGACCCCGTCCCTCGGAACCTTCTAGAATGACTTTGCAAGGAGCTCATTCAGAACTCTGGGGTGCATTCGGAAGGATCCCTGAAATCCCTGTCACACACAGGTGTGCTCGGTGTCCCTCTTGTGGGTGATGATGCTCTTTGTCACCAGGGAGCATCTTGACCTCTTTGAGGGTCTCCTCTTTCACTTTTACCCCCCCGTGAGGACCCCGAGAACAAGGGGCTCATCTCAGGGCCGTCAAATCAATGCTCATTTGCTCTGGAGACTTGTTTCCAAGTTGATCCACTTGTCAGTTCCGAGGCCCAAATTTCATTTTTCTTTTCTAACTTTTTCTTTTTCTCTCTTTTTTCTTTCTCTCTTTCCCATTTCTTTTTTTTCCATACTAGGGATTGAACCCAGGGCTGCTTACCCACTGAGCCACCTCCCCAGCTTATATCTTTATTTTTTTATTTGGAAACAGGGTGTCACTCAGTTGCTTAGGGCTTGGCTGAGCTGCTGAGGCTGGCCTCCCAACTCCCGGATCCTCCAGCCTCAGCCTCCTGAGCCCCAGCACGGTCTCCGGCCAATCTCTCTCTTTCCCCATTTGCTTATGTGAAAGATGCACATCACGAGGACCTCGTTGGGCCACCACATTCCCCGCGAGGAGCACGTTCCCTGATGTAGACCCTGTGCCCAGGCTTGACTGTCACCCAATCCCTGTAACAAAGTAACAGAGACCAGGCACCTGCATTGATTGACAGCTACTGCTCATAGCTCTGGAGGATGAAGTCCAGGGTCAAGGTCCAGGCGGGGCCGACCCGGGTCAGCTGAGGCTGCTTCCTGCTCCCAGAGGGCACCTTCTCCTGGGTCCTCCATGGTGGACGGGCAGGGGGCTCTTGGGTCTCTCTTACAAGGACCCTGGTCCCCTTCATGGGCTGCACCTGGGAGCTCAGCCCCTCCCAGAGCCCACGGGGTGAGGGTGCGGATTTTACCGTGTGCAATGGAGAGGACCGACCTGGGCGCCCCCGCAGGTACCACCACCATGATGACTGGAACGCCACCCGGGTGCATTGGATCCCGTGTGTCAACAGAGGGTAGGCGGTGGCGCTGGCCTCCGCCACCTGGGCTGCTGTTGACGGCCAAGCAGCAGCCACAGAGTGAAGCCCCCCCCTTTAGTCTCATGTGTCTTGCGTGGACGCCGCCGTCGGGTGCATCGGCCAAGGTGTGTGAGTGTCAGTCTCCATCGGGAGGGTCACAAAGGCTTCCCCGGGAGCAGGGGCCACCTGGAGCCCAGGAGCTGGAGACGCAGGAGGAGCCTCCGTGGTGGAGTCCGTGGAGGGAGCTCAGCCGGGGACCCGGGTCCAGCCTGCGCCCTGCGTGGCTGACACCATCCGTCTCCCCTCCGTCTCTACCCCTCATCCCCCCCACCCCCACTGAGTAGCCAAACGAGGCCCCCACAGGACATCGCTGTCCTCTGGCCATTCCTCATGGCAAACCCACCACGACCGCTGGCATCTCAGGTGGCCGAGCCATGGGGCGCCATCTTGAATCCGTTCCAACCCCGATGGCCTCCTCTTTCTGTCTCCTGAACTCCAGCCTTGGAAGTCAGGTGGGCAGCCCGACCCCAGGCCCAGGCTCCGCGGGTCCCACCCTGAAATCCCCAGGACAAGACACTTCCTTCCCCCAAATGCAGACAGGGAACTTGGGCCACCCATGGGGATGGTACCAGGCTCTCTGTGGGCTCCAGGGTGGATCCGTCCATAGTAGAGGCTGACTAGAGAGGCCCCCAGGAGGACATTCGTGGGAACAAGGTGCCCAGTGGAGGGCCACAGGACTGGACTTCCCCACCCAGAAGAAGCTCCCGGCCACACCCTGGTTTTCTTGAGACCCATTCCCACTTCGAGGTCAAGCACTCTCGCTTTCTTGGGGAGGACCTCGGGGAATTTTCTCTGAAACTCCCCCAGCTCTTATTTATTTATTTTCTCCATCCTGGGGATGTGCTGTCCCCAGGCTGCCACACCCAGCCCTGCAGGGAACCTCGGTGACATGCTGTATCTGGTGGGCAGGTCCCTTGATTTCGCACATCATGGCTCTCTGTATGGGGAGTGGGTTGGGGGGGAATATTTTTTTTTTAATTTTGGGGGTACCAGGGATTGAACTCAGGACCCTTGACCCCTGAGCCCCATCCCCAGCCCTATTTTGCATTTTATTTAGAGACAGGGTCTCCCTGAGTTGCTTAGGGCCTCGCTTTGGCGGAGGCTGGCTTTGAACTCGCGATCCTCCTGCCTCAGCCTCCCGAGCCACTGGGATGACAGGTGAGCCCCAGTGCGCCCTGCCCGTCTCTGTCTCTCCACGAAGCACCCGGGGTCTGTTCTGATGTGGGAGGTGATCGCCCAGCACCCGCCTGTGGCTTCCTGCACTTCCTGTCCCATGGGGTAGCACCCAGTGAGCCCTGGGCATGACCAGGGAGTCAGGAGGTTCTGCAGAGGGTCATCACATCATAGGGAAGGGACGGGTAATAGGGTCACGGGGACCCGGGTGACACCACGTCAGAGGGGGCGGGACTGTGGCAGCCACCGGCAGAGGAACTGGGAACCTTGATCTCAGTCGGAGCTCAGGAGGACAGGGGGGACGTGACCCTGGGGATTATGCACCTCAGAGGACTGTGCGGAAGAGAACTGGGGCTGATATTCTCAGCCTTAGGTTCCATTAGAGTCCTGTGCATGGGGACTCTGCAAACCTGGACCCCAGCTTAAGAAGAAAAAAAAAAGTGTGTTGTGGGAGGGTTTTGGGGGGCAGCCTTTACTGAAATGCTCTGGCATAATGTTAGCCTTCAGGTAGGGTTTGATCCAGGAGCTCCTGCGAGTATCATTGGAAAGGCAGGTGGGACCCGAGAGTGTGCATTTCTCTCAGGCTTCAAAGGGACACCTGTGCTCCTGGTCCTTTGTGAGCTTCTAGAACCCCTTTGGAGGCCCTGGTTTGGCTGGTGACGATGGATAAAGGACAGAGATGGCCATCTGGACGATGCTGATGGCCAGGCCCTGTGGGGCTGGTCAAGGGGGTCCACTTGGGGTGTGGTGCATGACCTTGGGCTGCCGAGAGCATCTCCTGAGGGTCCTGAGGACGTTCTTGGGTGCCCATGGGCAGCAGTCGGTGGACACCTGCACCTGAGGGGCGGTGGTGAGGGACGGTGGATCCCCAGGTTGTGAGGGGTCAGACTCTGGGTCTGCGCTGGAGCCCTTGCAGGAAGGAACGCACCCGCCGTGCTGTTCCTCCCCCAGGGCGCTCGGAACAGACGAGAGGAGAGGATTTCTCTAACATTCTTGGAGGCTGGAGGCTGGAGGCCCGAGGTCCAGGGTGGGCAGGACTTGTTCTCTGGGGTGGACAGCGGTGGTCTGGCCGTGGGCAGGGGGTTGGTCTTTCTATTGCTTGGGCCATGAGAGCCCAAGAGCATCCAGTCTTAAATCAGGGACCCCGGGGCAGGAGGCCACCAATTGCTCTGTCTCCATTCCTGGTCACACAGGAGATGTCCCCCCTGAAGACCAGCTGCCGGCATCTTTAATTAGACAACCTGCAGCTTCGTCCCGTCCACCGCTGTGGGCACTTTGACAGACACGGGAGGGTCCAGGGAGGGTCCCCCCCATTGGTCTTCTGAAAGGCAACCTGTGTTCAATGCGCTGTTCTCCTATGGAGGACGGAGGCCCCCGGGGAGGCCGGACTCCAGCCTGGCCTCCGCCCTTGTCCAAGGAGGTTAATGCACGTAAACCAAGAACACGTGGTGACAATAAGAGGCTCTGTGGTTGCTGCCCAGGAGGGGAAGGGCCGGCGCCCAGGAGCCACCCACACGACCATAAATCATGGCTTAGGTGTGGGTGCGCACACGTGGGTGTGCAAGGGGTTATTTGACTTAATTGACGCCTTGGAACCCATCGGCCTCAGTGGAAAGGTATTCCCGAGCTAATGACCCCTCTCCCGAGCTCTTAGCGGCTGCTAGACAAGAAGAAGCTCTCATATTTTATGACTGCTTCAAGGTAAAGTGCAGTCCCTTCAAGGAATTTGATCCTGGCTTTTCGGGGGACATTGGACGCAGATAAAGGTCACAGAGAGGGGCTTGTGCACGGATTTTTTTTTTTTTTTTTTTTGGTGGTGCTGGGGATTGAACCCAGGACTTTGTGCATGCCAGGCAAGCCCTCTGCCACCCGAGCTCTGTCCCCAGCCCTCAAGCACAGATATTCTTTAGCGTGTCAATGGATTTGTAATATGTGCATGAGTTCTTTTTTTTTTTTTTCATTGCTATAACAAAATACCCGAGGCTGGCTACTTATAAGGAAAACAGGTTTCTTCTTTTTTTTTTTCTTTTTTTTCCTATATTTATTTCAAACTCACATGAACCTGATCCTGCTCAATGACCTGCCACCTCCTGCTAGGCCACACCTCTTCAAAGTCTTGCTACCTACCTGTCTGCAACGCCACCCCAGGAGACCTAACACTTGACCCTTTGATGATTGGCCATTATGTCCCAGGCAGAGGTGAGGGTCACCCTGGAGGGTCCTGTGTCTTCCAATATTTCCTGGCAGATGATCAATCAACCCATCCTGCACACACTGTTGAGAAGTCCCTAGTTCCCCAAGCGGTTTTCCTGTGCATTTCATGGGTGGAGACGCTTTCTCTGGTCTCTCTGATGCTGGGTTGGACCAAGATTGAAATTTTAATATTTTTTGCTTCATCATTTGTGCCCCGCGTTGGTTTGCACGTGAGGTGTCCCCCAAAAACTCATGTGGGAGACGGTGCAAGAAGGTTCAGAGGTGGAATATTGGGTTATGAGAGGTGTAGACTCATAGTGGATTAATCCACTTGAATGGACTCACTGGGTGGTGACTGCAGGCAGCTGGGATGTGGCTGGAGGAGGGGGTCCCTGGGCTGTGCCTTTGGGGTCTCTCTCCTGTCCCTGGTGAGCAGAGCTCTCTCTGCTCCCTGGTGCCCTGTCCTGAGCTGCTCTCCTCCTCCAGGCCCTGCCGCCATCTTGTTCTGCCTCCCCTTGGGCCAGAGCCATGGAGTCGGCCACCAGGGACTGGACCTCAGAAGCCATGAGCCCAGATCAACTTCCCTCCCATAACTCATTCTCGTCCCATCCTGCTCCGCACACGGGGACTCCACAGTCACCCAACCCTGGGAATCCCAGGGGATTCCATGTTGGACCCTAAATCCTGTTTGGGACCCGCATCTTCCCAGAGAGCCCTGGTGCCCTCTGAGAAATCCTCCCTCACTGACCCACCGGAAGGAAATTGTGTCCCCAGAGTCCTGCTAAGGTGCACAGGTCCCTGGGGTGAATTGCTGCGCGTGCATGACGCACCGCCCTTCTCTGAGGTGGTTATTTGGATAGTTTACGGGTGAGGCCCAGAGAGGTATTGGTCACCCTGCAGGGAGGGCACTTTGGAAATCCTCGGTGACTCATCCGGGTGGTGATTTCACCGGGCTGAATCAGTGCCTTGGAGTCACCCTGCAGACCCAAGGGGCCTTGCAGGTGCAGGGCAGGCGAGCAATGCTCTCCCGTCCTTGGGTGCGTGGGCTCTTCCCATGCTTGGCGGGATGGGAGTGACCCCACCCCTGCAGCTGGCCAGCGTCCGCATGTGCATGCTTCTGTCAGGGATTTGCAACTTGGGGACCCAAGAGGAAGGAGCAGGGACAGCCTGGGCTTGGGGAGAACAGCAAAGCCCATCATCCCAGAGGTCAGGAACCAGCTTGGAATGCGCATCAGCCAGCTCTCTGGGACTGTGACAACACGCCTGAGATAATCGACGTATAAGGATGGAAGGTTTGTTCTGTGTTATGGTTCAGATATTAGGTGTCTCCTAAAAAAAGCTCACCTGTGAGACAGGGTGAAATGTCCAGTGGAGAAATAATAGGGTCGTCGCGAGGGTCTTGACTCAGTTAGTGAATTAATCTCCTGTTGGTATTAACTGGGTGGTAACTGGAGGCAGGTGGGGTGTGGCTGGAGGAGGTGGCACTGAGGACGGGGCTTTGGGGTGTATATTTTGCATCCAGAGAGCGGAGTCTCTCTGCTTCCCTCTGCCACATGCTTCCGCCATGATATTCACCCTCTTGGATTATGAGAGAGAGATCTAACCTCATTAGTGGATTAATCCACTTATATGGATTAGCTGGTGGACACTGTAGACAGGTGTAGTGAGCCATGGGGGTTGGCCTTATATTTTGTTCCTGGAGGTAGGGTCTGTCTGTCCCGAGCCCTGTCCTGAGTGGCTTCCCGCCACCACCCACTTCCGCCATGATGTCCTGCCTCACCGCGAGCCTGAGGAATGGAGCCAGCTGGCCATGCACTGAGACCTCTGAAACCTGAGCCCCCAAGGTGTCCAGTGTACCCTTGGCTACTTTAGAATATCGCAGGCCAATCCTGGAAGAAATAGGTCAAGAAACCCCCACATGCCAGCTGCCCACTGTGGTTTGGAGATCCCACCACGGATCCCTCCTACTGACCTGTGCGTGTCCAGGGCTCCGAGTTTCTCTCTCCCTCCTTCCCGGGTTTTAGCCTTGGCTTCCTCCTCTGTGTAACCGACACCACCAGCTGCCTCTCCGCCCCACGAGCCACAGGAAGAAAACAATCCCGGTCTCCACCTGTGGCCGAGAGGCGTCCCCACAGCATGCCCCTGCAGCTGACGTGGGCTCCAGGTGCTGGTCTCCTTCTGTGCCATCCAAGGACTTTTCAGAGGGCAGATGTGATCAGAGCATCCTGGGCTGGGTGCAAGCAAGGTGCTGATTTTCAGGCTGCTCATGTAGAACTTGGATGTGAAAGAAGCCCCCCACCCCACCCCCAGCAGACGGATGCCGGGCCAGGGTGGAGCTGGCGATGGGTTATGAGAGGTGTAGCCTAGTGAGTGGATTAATCCAGTGACATGGATTAACATGGATTTTTATAACCATATTCTAAAAAACAAGCTATCTGAATATGGTCTCTCTCTCTCTCCTAAACACAAGCACTCTGATACTACGGCAGTCAGTCCAGCAACAGAGATGGCTCCTAAGTAACTAACGAGAGGTAGCATATACAAAGATAGTCTAAGTAACTAACGAGAGGGTAGCATATAAAAAGGTGGTCTAAGTAACTAACGAGAGGGTAGCATATAAAAAGGTGGTCTAAATAACTAACGAGAGGGTAGCATATACAGAGATGGTCTAAGTAACTAACGAGAGGGTAGCATATACAGAGATGGTCTAAGTAACTAATGAGAGAGTAGCATATATAGCCTGGATACAATGGGTAAAGGGATGATTCATGTCTAGAGTGGAGAGGAGCAGCATCTTGCCACTCAGAATACCACCTGATTTAGAACTTGTGAATCTTATTTCAGCTCCATCTCTCTGCACGTGGAAACATGGTGCTTTCTTAAAGGGTCAGTTGCTTGTGGAGCTGAGCTTGCCTTTCTGGTCCTACCTGCACGACTTACAATCTGTCTGTACACATAACCAAATGCACAGAGGCTTGCGCACTTCCCCGTTGGGAAGTTTTTGAGCTTGTTCAGTGACACTAAACTAAAAGCAGTGCAGTTCTTTGGATTTGGGCAATGAAACCTGAGAGACGGCCCCACCACTGTCTACCCAGAGACAGTGGCACCATGGTCCAGGGGAGGAGTCTCCCCTGAAGATGGCCACCTCATGTTCTTTCCCACTGAGTGAGCAGGACAGGCTGTCCTTTCAGGGAGACCCAGGCTCTGCTCCCAAACGTGCTGTGCAAACTGATCCCTTGAGGAGCCTTTGTTCTCTCAACAAGGCTGCGTGTGACCTCTGGGCCGCCAAGATGGCTTGCTTAAGTCAGCTCTTTCTCCGCTGTGACCAAAGGACCCAACAAGAACAGGTTGGAGGAGGAGAAGTTGATCTGGGGCTCATGGTGTCCGAGGTTCAGTCCCTGGTGGCCGACTTCATGGCTCTGGCCCAAGGGGAGGCAGAACAAAATGGCGGCAGGGCCTGGAGGAGGAGAGCAGCTCAGGGCAGGGCACCAGGAAGCAGAGAGAGAGGGAGAACCCAGGGACAATATATAGTCCCCCAAAGCCACTCTTAGTAACCTACCTCCTCCACTCATACCCTAACTGCCCTGTTTATCCACATCAGTGGATTAATCCACTGACTAGGTCACACCTCTCCAACCCAATCTTTTCACCTCTAAATTTTCTTGCATTGTCTCATACACGAGCTTTTGGGGGACACTACATCTAAACAATAACCGTGATACGAATAATAAAGCAGAGTGATTTTGTAACCATATCCTGAATTACAAGGTAGCTGAATATGTTCTCTGTCTCTTAAAATGTCATATTGTCCTTCTACTTTTTGTCTTGAAGGAAGCGCTTTCTGACTCCTCCGCTTTCTGTATTGGCAGCCTTACTCCTCTTTCATTTGGGGACTCTTATTGAGGAAAGTAACAGTGAGTTGAACACAAGCACTCTGATACTATGACATTCCAGCAACAGAGATGGTCCCAAGTAACTAACGAGAGGGTAGCATATACAGAGACGGTCTAAGTAACTAATGAGAGGGTAGCATATACAGCCTGGATACACTGGGTAAAGGGATGATTCATGTCTCCACTGGAGTGCAGCAGCATCATGCCCCTCAGAATGTAATTTAAAGCTTCTGAATCTTCTTTGTGCAATCTTCTGTGTGTAGTTTGCCCACTTCTTGGGAGGGTGAGTGATAGACTTTTAATCCACTTTGGGGGAGCAGGACATGTGATTTAGAGAACTTCCTGGGGTCCTCAGACCCCTACTTAGGGATGATGTCAAAACCATTTAATAGTTGGGGAAGGAGGGTCATAGTGTGGGAATTGGTTATCTCCAAGGATGCGGAGGCTGAGGAAGGAGGATTGCAGGTTCAAAGCCAACCTCAGCAAAAGCGAGGTGCTAAGTGACTCAGTGAGACTCTGTCTCTAAATAAAATACAAAATAGGGCTGAGGATGTGGCTCAGAGGTGGAGGACCCCTGAGTTCAGTCCCCAGTCCCCTCCCAACAACAACAAAAAAGAAATAACTAGACATGGAGGGAACTTACGCATGCTGCCTCTGCCAGATAAAACTTGTGGTATTTGTTCAAGAGTTGTGTGATGCTTTCATTGAGCATTTGGGGATCTTAAATGACAACAAAAATCACTTCCCACTGAGAATTGAAGGGGCAGGTTTGCAAATCTAGCAAACTAAAAGTACAGTGGTCCTCCTGGTAGGCAAAGTTTCCCTTACTGAGTTTTCACAGTTGCCCATGTTAACCACGGTCCAAAAACAGGAAATTTCCAAAAACTCAGAATTCATTCATTGTTAAGTTGTTCTGATGTTTGATTTGTTTTATTTAGTTGTTCTATTTTATTTTTCACATTTGTTCCTGATCTTTTACCAATCCTGATTGACAAGTTAAACTTAATTATAGGCTTATATGTATAGGGAAAAAAAATTATTTTTGTGCCGGATCCCCACCTGCCCTATCTCCAAGAAATGCCGGGATAGCGTTTGATATGATTGATGGCTTCAGGTACCCCCTGGGGATCTCAGAACACTTCCTTGCCAACCAAGGGGGTGTGATTGTTGCTCTTTCTTTCTGAACAAAGGCAACTAAACATACCCGTTTGCCCTGTTTGCAGAGATATTCTCAGTACTCTAGGGACACAGTGTCCTTTGCAGGAACACACTGATGTCATGAAGGAGTTGCTTTTATCAGTAGAGAGTGAACTAGCCCAGTGTGGGATCCCCAGGAATCATTTTTTCCATGTGTGTTGGTTGGAATTTTCCAGAACTTCCTTGAAGTGCGATGACATCATCCCTCCAACGCCAATGGCATCTTTCCTAGTGTCCTCTCTTGCTTAACTCTTTCTGCTTGAATTTTTTTCCTACGGTGATGACCTCCACCTACCCCCTATGTAAAGGAGCAAATGCTCCAAAGGGTCCTTGGTGCATTTTTGAGGAGGTTCAAAGGATCCCAAGACCAACACATTTGAGAGCCGCCATTTTGAATTCACAACCAGGACTGTGATCCTTTCTCCTTGGCATTCTGAGCTGGCCAAGACTGACTCGTGTCTGTAGATAGAAGTAATGCCTCAGTGTTGGGTGACAATGTCTCTTTCTGTTCTTTGTCTTTTAAGGTCTTCGTTTTTATCATTGTACCCAACTGGGGTTATGGGTTGTTGGACGTCTCCCCAGTGTGGAAACCCAGGTCATACCTTGGCTTCCCAACATCTCTCCAGAGACATTTCCAACCCTGCTCACAACATAATGGTGGACACGAGCGTTGGGTCCAAGTATCCACCACACAAGTTCTTTGATGTCAAAAAAAATAAGTCCCACATAGTGAGAGCCAGAACAAACCTTGGAAAAGGTTGAATGAAGGTCATAGGAATGGATTCTGGTGCCCACCAGGATCAGGGGTTGCATTTTGAGTTTGTGGCATGTGCTCAGCTGGGATTTGGGATTCCCATGAATGAGGATGCTCTGGTCTTCTTAGGGGACTTTAGAGAGAACCAGGTGGATTCAGGAGTGGGTTATCCACGGGGGACATTGACCCAGATGTAGATGGCTGTCCTCCTGGTTTAGAAGTCTCACTCTGGCTAATGGAACCCGAGGCCACGGTGAGGAATGCAAGATGGCGGAATCGGGATGATGGGGTGGGTTGGACGGAGGGACCAGGGAGATTGTCCCCTCTGAAGAAGTGTGAGTCTGAATTAAGGTCTTGTCTTGTCTTTCCAGTCTTGGCCTTTGGTCCCAGGACCTGTCACAATCTCAAAGTCTGTGGGTGCTCAGCTCCCCTCTAAGATGGTGTCCCGTGGGCCTAGAACCTGCACCCATCTTCCTGTGTGCTGTATGTCATCTCTCCATGACACGGGACACCCGATACAATGCAAATGCTTTCTCAAGAGTCATGGTACCATATTGTCACCCATGAACCCGTTACCTGTCCATCTATCCATCCACCCATCTATCCACCAGTTATCTACCAATCTGTCATCTGCCATCCATCTATTAACCAGTTACCCGTCCACACCTATCACATCTGTCAGTCAGTTGTGATTGACAACTGGTGTCCACAACGTGGTGTCTACACTGCATAGATGCATTTAACACCACTCAACCGCATACCAGAAAGGGCTATGGTGGTAAATCCCACGCTACGTACATTTTTTCCACTGAGAAAAAATAATGCATGAAAGCTAAGTAGATTCAAGTAGGTCATAGGGTTGGGCACCATCTTGGTCCCTGTGTTTGGTTTGAGGAAGCCGATCCATTGAGATAGCTGGGGACGTGGTGTCGTGTGACCGACTTGGGCACATTCTGCATGCAGAATTTACTTGCTTGGACGTCATCCCTGATGGTGCCCTGTAGGTCCTTCCTGGGTGAGGAGCGACTCTCACTAACATTGTCCCCAGGTGCAGAACCACCTCTAGTCCACCAACAGTGGTCCCAGACATTCTGCTTCTACTGAGGTCAGCTGAGTTTGGTCATCAGAGGACTCCCTGACACACAGTCACACCACCAAGGCCTGCGAGGGATTTGAGGGGCCGATACTTCATGCCCCAACCTCCATCTTACAGACACACCACGGTGGCTCACCATTCAATTTCAATGTGTACAAAAAAAACATGGCGGCCCAGTGGATTCCCTGACCCACAGACACCTCACTCATGCCTGTGAGGGATTCCGGAGGTCTACACATCATGCCCCAATCTCCATCTTAAAAACACACCACCCTGGCTCCCCATTGGACTCCAACATGTACCAAAAAAACATGGCGGCCACCAATATTTGGCCAGTCGGTGTGTTGCATGGACCAGGTCTTCTTCCTGGCTGAACCTTGCAGTCACATTTTCCCCCGGTGTTCAGCTAAGGAACACAGCCCTCTGTGGGATGCTGGACGCTTCTGGTCAGTGAGGTTCAAGGCCATGCATGGTTGGTTACTTCATTTGCCACAGTTGACTTTCCTTCTGGGAAAGGGAGGCATGGTGGAGAGTCTGTCTCCGATGGAGGCTGGCCTTTGGGCCTCCTGTTCCTATCTTCTTAGAATCTTCTTGAGACTTAATATTTTGGACACCTCAGACCTTGGGAGAAAGGAGAGGGGGTGCATTTGTGGAGCTGCTGCCTTTACCCAGACACCCCTGTTTCAATCTTCTGCCCTATGTCACCTGATTGTCCTGTTGCAGCTGCAGCGAAGGCTGACCCCACGGGTCCTCCTCATCCTGCGAAGTTTGGGGACATGCTCAAAGATGCCGAGAGCTGGAGGGAGAGGAGGGGTTCTCTTTTTGGATGCGGTGGGCCACGGCGAGTTCCGGAAGGGAGCGGTGGATGCTGGATGGGGCTTCTGGTTGGAGTGTGGGGCCGTAGTTGGTGACCCGGTGGTCACCAACCTAAGAATTACTTTGCCCTCAAGGTCAAAGTGGCTGATTTTGAAATAAGAGCATTTTTGATTTTTGAAATAAGGGCATTTGTCTAGAATTGTTGAAAGAAAGAAAAAGAGAGCAAGCCGTGCTGGAGGAATAATTTGCTATCATCTCCTGTTGCTACCTGGGGGAGGGCGTGGTTTCTCCAGGGTGGCTTTTTACAAAATGGTGCCCACTTTCTCGCCAAGTGAAAGAGCCATTTGGGAGCAGGTGATTCTGTCCCTCTCTCCCTGTAATATATGTATGTATCTGCAAATTTTATGTGACAGTGACCACCTGGGTTCATCAGCCAGGATACCAAGCCTCCAACCCCAGTGGGATTTGTTTGGAGGTCCCAGATCCCCCTCGATGAATCCTTGGATGGCCTTCACCATGATGGACAGACTTGACTGCTTATGTTCCTTCTCTCCTCTCCAGGGACGGGGACCTTCGGGCGCGTGCACTTGGTGAAAGAGAAGGCTGCTAAGAACTACTTTGCCCTCAAGGTCATGAGCATCCCCGAGGTCATCCGCTTGAAGCAGGAGCAGCATGTTCACAACGAGAAGTCGGTCCTCATGGAAGTCAACCACCCCTTCCTCGTCAAGCTGTGAGTTCCTCGCCTTCCCTTCTCCCTTAACCCACCCTGGGATTCCCCAGGGTCTTGTCTTAGAAGAAATGGGTTGAGCCAAATGGACGTGGTGGTACATGTATATAATCCCAGGCTGGAGGCTGAAGGAGGAGGATGGCACATTGGAGGCCAGCCTCAGCAAAACCTAGCAAAACTCTATCTCAAAATAAAAAAAAAAAAAAAAATAGAAGGACTGGGGATGTAGCATCCTTGGATTCTGTGTCTTAATGGGAAAAAAAAAAAAAAAAAAACTTAATGGCTTCATTAATTCCAATCATCTTTTAGATTTCCATTAAGATGTACCCTGGACCTCCTTCCTGTAGAATGGGTCCAACCTTTACCCAAAGAATCTGGCCTTCCCTGTTTGGCTTAGTCCATATGGGCTGCTACAACAAAATGGTTGAGACTGGGTTAATTATAAACACCATTATGCATTCATTTATTGCTCTTGGTTCTGGGGACCGGACATCCAAGATCAACCTTGATCTTGTATTTGGTGAAGGTTCCTTCTCTTCCAAGATGGCGCCACCTTGTTGGGTCCTCATAGCGTAGAAGGGGCAGGACCTCCCTTGGAGTCATTTATAAGGCTTAATTCCCTTCATAATGATGGCACCCTGGTGACCAAGTCACCTCCCGAAGGCCCACCTCTTATTACTAACACATTGCGGATCACGGTCCAACATGGAAGTCCAGACCATGGGGACAGAGTAAGAGTATTTTCCATCCATTTGCCAAAGGTACAGATGGCCTGCGTCTCTCTTTCCCCATCCATGGGGCCTTCCACCCAGCAACCACGTCTTCCGTCCGCCATGTTGGTAATGTTCCTCTCCTGGATTATATGGATCCTGATTCACGCCCATCATTCCTAGACACACCCTCACTGACCGCCCATAAGCCTCTTAACCCTCAGCATCTCTTGATCCAATCAAGTCGACAGTTCAGATTGGCCATGTTAATGGCCATGCTGGTTTTTCCCAGATGCCTCCCCAAGGATGTACCTGCACACCCACATAATAGGCACCCTCTGCACTTGTCTTAGGTCCATTTTTCTCTTACTGTAGCAAAATACCGGATGCCGGGTACTTTATAAAGAAAAGAGGTTTGCTTCGTTCATTGATTTGGAGTTTGTAAGCCTCACATTGGGAGGCTCCATTTGGTTCAGCCTCATGGCGGTGAGCAGATTGAAGTGGGTTCAGTTCTTCTTTTCTGTAACCTCCTGGGCTTGGTCTTCTGCACACATTCTCTTTCCACGTGCTCCTCTGACTTCACGGCATACACACGTCTCCCCTGGTCTCGGGGCCACCCGATGGCACCAGCCAGGTGTGTTACCTTTTAGTGGGAAAATCACCTTCAGCAAATCTTCTGGAACATTCCAATTTTGGTTAAAAGCCCGTGACACTTTGCCTGCAGACGGGAGAAATACTATGACACCTTCCATAGGAATCTGCATCCTCTTTAGAATGTGGTGATTTAAAATCCTAATGTACTAATGTCCTTGCCCAGAAGCACAATTTTTGCTTATAAAAGAGGAATAGGTAGAAGGTACTACCCTGCCCCACATCCATGGGATTCCTTTCTGGAATTTAGGAAAATATTTCTTTTTTTGGGGGGGTTACTAGGGATTGAACTCAGGGGCTCTCAACCCCTGAGCCCCCTCCTCAGCCCTATTTTGCATTTTATTTAGAGACAGGGTCTCCCTGAGTTGCTGATGGCCTCGCTTTGGCTGAGGCTGGCTTCAAACTCGTGCTCCTCCTGCCTCAGCCTCCCGAGCCTCTGGGATTCCAGGTGTGTGCCATGCTGCCTGACAATTTGGGAATTTTTTTTTTTTTCTTCTTCTTTTTTTAACAGTAAAGCACAACAGAGCTCATTCTTCAGGCTGTGTATGTCTTTGATGTAACTAAATGGACGCGTCCCCTGGGTCCTGGAGGCTGGGAGTCAAGGTGGACCTAGTGCTGCAGACCCTCAGAGGTTCCCCCGCGGGTCGCTCAACTGAGCACCCCATGTCTGGCCAGCGCCGTGATTGTCGTGATTCCAAACCTCAAGAGGCACGTGTTTTCCGTGGGGTGGCACCGCTAGCGAAGGAGGCGTGGACTCCAAAGTGCCACCCAGGTCTGTCCCGACAGTCAGTCGCTTCACCTCGCAAGTGATTTCCACCCTCCCCGGGAGCGCTGAGCAGGTTCTGCTTCCATTTTTTTTATAACCACGTGCAATGAGAGCATGGTCAGAATCGAGTTTGCACAATTGGGGCCTCTAGGGCTGGGGGCCTCTGGGGTGGGCTGTGCTGTGCGCTGCAGGAGGTGGAGCAGCCTCTCCGGGCCCCACACACCAGGAGCCAGGAGCAGCCCCACCCAGGGTGTGAGAGCCACCTGGACAGACAGAATTGGTAGACAGATAGATAGATGACAGATAAATAGATAGATAGATAGACAACAGCTGGATGGAGGGATGATAGAGACTGTGTCCTGCAGGTCTCCTCTGCCCTGTGGGCCTCTGGGGCTGGGGTTCTCTGGGGTGGGCTGTGCTGTGCATTGCAGAAGGTGGAGCAGCCTCTCTGGGCTCTAGAACACATGGCCTTAGGGGGACATTTATCCAGACCACAGTAATCTGTCATCTACTTGGAAGCAAGATGTTTGTTGACCCAGGACACATCTTCTGCTCTCGGTTGAATGACAGCTCGTGGGCCCACTGATGGGCATTAGGGGCAGTGGAGGGGTCCCTGCTGACCAGGAAACACCTTGCTTTAGAGTCCGTGCACCCGGGTCTGGCTCCTGACCTCACGGGTCCTGGGGAGGTTCGTTGGAGGAACCACCCTCCGGTTTCTCTGAGCCTGAAGGAAGGAGGAAAAGATCTGCGTGTTCTGACTGTTTGGAGCTCTTCCTGTTTGTTAAAAACAAAGACCTGCCAGGAGCGGTCTCTCCTCCTTGGTCATTCTGTGCAAAGAACAGTTTGGGCACAAGAATAGCCGTCCCTGTCCCCAAACCTCAAATATAAGGAGATGTGTAGTGAGTTTTGGGGTGTTTGTGTGGGGTTGGGCGAGGGAGCTGGGTTCAGACGGTGAATGGGCACATTTTGCAGGAGGAATCGCTTAGTGTTTTTGTTCAGTGCTGGGCAGGGCCCACAGGGTACCACTGAGCCATGTCCCCAGACCCCCCCTTTTTTTAAATAATAATTTTGCAATACCTGGGATCGATCCCAGGGGTGCTGACCCACTGAGCCCCACCCCCAGCCCTTTTTTTCGCCGTTTATTTAGGGACAGTGTCTCGCTAAGTTGCTTAGGGTCTGGCGAAGTTGCTGAGGCTGGCCTTGAACTTGCCATCCTCCTGACTCGGCCTCCCGAGTTGCTGGGAGTACAGGTGGGTGCCCCCGTGACCCCCTAGGATCAGAAGAGAAGCAGGAGGTGGACAGGGCCTTTGTTTTAGGGGAGCCACAGGGGCCAGCAGAGCCAGTGCGGGGAGAGCCAGCCTCTGGTCTCCTGGGGGCAGGGCTGGTGGCCCTAGAGGCAGGTCTGGTTGCAGGGAGCGGTTGCTGCAGAGGCTAACGGGTGGGGTCACGCTTGCTTCCCTCGAGGGCAGTTTTGCACGCTGCTGTGGGGAAACGGTGACCAACTTTTTAGTCAGCTGACTACCCACAAACAGGCTGGTTTGGTGTTTAATTAGGAGCACCTGCAGTGGGAGCCGTGGCTGCACACTTTGCAGACGAAAGACTGACAGCGCAGCCTCCGCCATAGCCCTGCCTTGAGCTAGAGATGCAGGAGGAGAGAGCCAGGGTCAGGCAGCTGCTGCAGGGGCGTGGTCACAGAGGGGTGTGGTCACGAGGGGCGTGGTTACAGGGGCCTATTGGCGTGCTTACTACGGGGCGTGGTTACAGTGGGGCGTGGTTATGCTAAGGTGTGGTCCTGGTGGGTGTGGTTACAGTGGGGAGTGTTCCGATTGGGTGTGATTGAGGTGGAGGCGTGGTTATCCCTAAAGTGTGGCTGTGGTGGGCGTGGTTATGGGGGAGTGGCCACGATGGGGCGTAATTGAGGTGGGGGCGTGGCCACAGTGGGCGTGGTTATGGCTTAGGCGTGGTTACACTGAGGCATGATTACAATAGGGCTCCTTATACCAGGGTATTATCACTGTGGGTGTGGTCACGGTGGGGGTGTGGCCTCACTGGGGCGTGGTTTATGGCTAGGGGGTGTGGTTACAGTGGGACAGGATCAGGATAGGGCTAGTTGTAGGGGGTGTGGTCGCTATGGGGTGGGTCATGGTGGGGGCGTGGCCACAGCTGGGCGTGGTTTTTGACTAGGGTGTGGTTACAGTGGGACATGGTCACTATGGGGTTGGTCATAGTGGGGCTGCGGTCACCATGGGCCGTGGCCATGGTGGGGGTGTGGCCTCGGTGGGCGTGGCTTACGATGGGCGTGGTTATGGTGGGATATGATTTATGGGTCTAATTATGCTGGGGCGTGGCCACAGTGGGCGTGGTTATGGGAGGGATTATGAGAGTCTCAGTTAAGGGGTGCAGTTATGGGGTCCCTCCTGAGACTGGGAACTTCCTGTGTGCCCCCATGTTTTGCTAACTGTTTATGTTGACTCTCTCTGTTGCTTGACTCTTTGAAAAAGACTTGGTCTGTTTTCAAAGAGACAAAAATTAAGATGGACACATTCTTTAAATTTAAAAATTTCATTGTCATCAAGAGTAGCATCTTAACATTTATTTTCTTGGCTTTTTCTTTCGCTCTCTTTTTTTTGGGCGGAGTGAACCCAGGGGTGCTTAACCACTGAGCCCCGTCCCCAGCCCTTTTTATTATTTTGAGACAAGTTGCTTAGGGCCTCGCTACGTTGCGAAGACTGGCCTCCAACTTCTCATCCTCCTGCCTCAGCCTCCTGAGCCACTGGGATTATAGTGGTGCAGCATGGTTCCCACCCATCTTCATCATTTTGCAGTGTTTAGTCCAGTGTCCTTAAGAATATTCTTAACTGTCAGGGGACTATCCCTACCAGAGATTTTTTAACTTGTGAAATTGGAGCTCTTATAACTTTCCATTTTCCCTCTGCCAGCCCCTGTAACTACTCGATTCTAGTTTCTGTCTCTGAGCTTGATGACTCTGTAGACCCCTTATGAGTGGACTCATGCAGTGCTGGTCCTTTTGTGTGTGACTGAATTCACTGAGTATGATTTTTCCGGGGTTCACCCACCCTGGACCCTGCTTCAGAATTCTCTTCCTTTTGAAAGCTGCATAATATTCCACTGCATGAATACATCCCTCTGTGTTTATCCGCTCATCCACATACAGACAAATGGGTTGCTGTCTCCTTTGGGCTTTTGTGGATATGGACCTGATTGTAGTGTTCAATTATTTGCTTTTAATGGTGTGTATAAAATTTCCCCCACTTAGAGAAGACGTATGCATTTTGCTCGTCCCACATGGGATTATCTTTTTTTCCTGCTGTCTCTAAATGCCAGATATCCATTTGACACAGCCTGGAATGGATCTTTGCACACTTTTTTCTGAACTTAAAAACCTGCACACACACACACACACACACACACACACACACACACGTGGTCTTGGCGTTATGACACCATACTATGAACACAGTTTGGCCAGCCTGCGCGTCCAGTCTGCTGCCCACCAATCAGCTCAGATACCCCCCCACACACACTCAGGTCATTTCCTGCACAGATGTGACCTTGAACTTCCTCCCTGCCCTGCCTTCACCCCCAATCTGTTCCTTCTTTCAGCTTCCCCATTTTATAAATGGCCCTTCCAATCTCCCGGGTCCCATGTGGCCACCCATTTCCAACTTCCTTTCTCTCAATGTCATGGTCCCTTCGGCCCCAGCTCCCGCTGTCTCCAACCCTGGGACACATCTCAAGGCGTTTTCTGACGTCACCGAAGCCACATGATTTCCTGCGGGCCACCTCCTTTCTCTCCAGGGACCTACCCAGAGTCCTTCCAAGCTCCTGGGTCCCATGTGGCCGCCATTTTTAATTACTTTCCATTGACTTCTCCTCCGGTTGCCGGCCCTGCCCTGTCCATCCCAAGGGCACCATCAGCTGGGCACACACACACACAGAGCCCAGAACATACCCTCTCTGCCCGCGAAGCCCAGCCTTTGATTGGGGCCTCCGTTGATTGGGGCCTCCGTTTCCAGCCTCCTTTGACCCTGATCTCTCTATGCTCCATCCCATCCGTCCTAGTGGGGTGCAACGTGTTTCAGGATTGCACATCGTTTGCGTTTCTGAATCTCCCCACGGATCCCTGGACCCCTTGGGGACGAGACCCGAGTCTGCCCACAGAGTCCCTGTGCATCGCACAGACGTCGTGGAGGATGCATCAGCCTCCTGTCCTGGTTCTGTGCCGGGATCAGCTGCGCGGAGCAGAGTCTCGCGCTGCGGGCTCCCCGTGGTCCTGCGGAGACTTTGGAGACCCCATAGCCTTTGGGGTTTCGGAGACCCTGACTGAGGATGCTCAGCCCTGAGGGGACACATCTTATGGCGAGTCTGATTCCTGCACAGCTGCAGCGCCCATGGTGCGCACGGGATCGGCTCCTACTGTATACCTGCCAGGCGCTTCTGTGTGGGTGGGACAATGCACTTTGTGAGTTATGGACAGATGTGCCCAAGGGACCCCGGGGGGGTGACAGGAAGCATTAAACATGCAATGCACTTTGCAGAAGCCGCTCTCGTCTGCCCTGGCACTTTTAGGGTCCCCAAGGGACGGAGCCCTCAGCTAATGGGAGTGATCGGGTCGGCTGATGGGCCCCACCCTGATGCCTGCTGTCTGCTGGGCTCAGATTGCAGCTCACTGGGGCTCAAGTCTTTGGAAATTTGGGGACGGGGACAGAGACAACCGAATCTGCTTGGGACATTTGGGTCCTAATCTCTGTCACCCCCTGAGTCCTGAGCAATCCTTTGCATACACAGGCAGCCGGAAGGGGTGGTTTGCATAATGATCTGGCTACTTCTGTGCAGGATGCGGGGTGGGCCGTGTGGACCTTGCCATTTGGGCTTCGTGGGCGCACTCGAGAGGGTTAGGATTTGGGAGGCTTTTTGGAGAAGAACAGGGGAATTGGCACCTCCTAGGATTCTGCTGTCCTCCAGGTAAGGCTGCTGCCCGGCCACTGAGGACGCTGTCTTCTCCCTGTGTCTCCCAGGGGCATCCCTCTGTGTGCATCTGTGTCCTCATCTCCTCTACAGGGACCCCAGTCCTGCTGGTGGGTCAGGGCCCCTCTGAGACCACACTGTATCCCCATTCCCTCTGTAAAGACCCGTGTCCACACACAGGCGCATCCCAAGGTCCTGGGGTCAGGGCTGTAGCAGCAAAATTTGGAAAGGGACTTAAGTGAGCCCATGACTCCCTGGCTTCTTGACAGAACATGGTCTTCGCCCTCCTTCCACACCAGGACAGTGAGACCTGTGTGTCGATCCTGTCTCCCAACAATCCAGATGGCGAACTGTTACTAAGTTGCTTGTATCAAGGGGGTCGAATTGTGAGGCAGGGATTTTGAGAAGGAATACTGGGTTCACAGTAATCTTCTAATGAATGCCTTTCTATACCTGTTGGTCAGTTTTTCATTGCTGTAACAAAAAACCTGAGGGTTAATAATGTATATATAAAAAAGATCTTTTTTTTTTTTTTTTTTTTTTTTAAGCTCATAGGTCTAGAGGTTGGAGAAGCCAGTTACAGTGGCCTCCTGGGCTGCACTGGAACCTGGCACTTGGCCTCATGGTTGGGAGTATGTGGGACATGATGGGACCTCATGGCAGGACCAGGAGCCAGGGACCTTCAGTAACCACCCCTCCTTTGAGTAGGCGGTCCCTCAATGGCACCCCACCAGGAGCCAACTTGAACTTTGGGGGAACACAGCACACCCAGTTGTCTCTGTCTCTGTGCGTGTTTTTTGAGCATATTCTAAATACATCCTACTCATTTCTCCAAATTTCCGCCTCTGTGCGCATGTGCTGACACCCGTCTGTATGCACCTCTTAAACCTCTGGGTGCAGCGAGATCTGAACATCTATGCATCACCGGCTCCTAACTGGACGCACATTTTTCTTTTCTTCTTTTGGTGCCGGGGATGGATCTCCCGTCGTGGCTCCTGCTAAGCTGGGCTCCACGATTGAGCTCCGGGTGTCTCCTTCTGGGTCCTCACCAATGCCATAAATCTGTGTGTGGGTCCATCTTCACATCTGTGTGTCCCCGTCCTGGGACATCTCACTGACTATGTCCTAAGCATATGCACACACTGAGCATCTATCTGTCTGTGCGTCTTGACATGTCCTCGTCCCCAAGATAGCAGTACGTCCATAGGCACCCTGAGCCTCCTCGACCTGCACCTGCTAACAGGTGTGCACGCCCCATGCATACACCGGTCCCTCTGCACCCTAAGCATCGTTGCGCCTCCATACCCCAAGCGCCTTTTAGTCCCTGTGCATCTTGACACCCACCTCCAGGCGCGTGGCGCACGCCTGTCATCTCTGCGGCTCCGGAGGCTGAGGCAGGAGGATCGCGAGTTCAAAGCCAGCCTCAGCAGCTGAGCGAGGCCGTGCGCATCCCCCTGGAGCCACAGCCACCTGACGCGTATCTCAGTGTGGAACGTCACCCGTGCTCCAGCGTCACCCTTCCCTGGTCCCCGCAGGTTCTGGACGAGCCACGACGATCGCTTCCTCTACATGCTGATGGAGTACGTGCCGGGCGGCGAGCTCTTCAGCTACCTGCGCAACCGCGGCCGCTTCCCCTGCAGCACGGGGCTCTTCTATGCCACCGAGATCGTGTGCGCCATCGAGTACCTCCACTGCAGGGACATCGTCTACAGGGATTTGAAGCCGGAGAACATACTCTTGGATCGGGACGGCCACATCAAGCTCACGGACTTCGGGTTCGCCAAGAAGCTGGTGGACAGGTAGGAGACCCCCCCGGGGATGCGCGTGCGCCTGGAGAGTGGCGAGGCCAGGCACCCAGGTGCAGCGAAAGCGCAGAGCGTCCACTGTCCCGTGCGAAGCCAGGGGTCCAGGGGCAGGCCTGGGGCTCGCTGTGGTCCGCGGTGGTCCCTGGACAGGTCATGCTCCTTCCTGTCCACCTTGGAAGAGGCCCCTGTGTGGCCCTGCCGTGCTGACCCGAGACTGTCCAAGGTGCCCGAGGCGCGTGCAGAGCCCCTGCGGGGAGCGCGGTGCAGATCCCGCTCCAAAGCTACTGCGCCCTGCGCTCCCGTCCTTCACCCTCTGTCGCTGGGTCTGCGCTGCGTTTCCATTGGATGGGCCTCTGCCATGTGCGTGTCCCTCACACATACGTGGGTCTCCGCTGCGTTTCCATGTCATGGATGCGTAAAGCTCAGGGTAAGAAAGCGGTGTTTCAGGTTGCACACGACATTACGGATCCAACTGCAATTTTAAATTTTGAACCAGGGATTGAACTCAGAGCACTCGACCCCTGAGCCCCGTCCCCAGCCCTATTTTGCATTTTATTGAGAGACAGGGTCTCCCTGAGTTGCTCAGGGCCTCGCTTTGGCTGAGGCTGGCTTTGAACTCGCGATCCTCCTGCCTCAGCCTCCCGAGCCCCTGGGAAGACCGGCGTGGACCACCGCGCCTGGCTGGTATTGCACTTTGAATCCCACGTTTTCTTTTACGCACGAGGTTATAGGAAACGCGAGTGTTCTCCAGAGAAGGGGAAGGAGGAGGAGAGGCGGGTCCCCTATGGGAAACCCTGATCCGTAAAGTCCTCTTGTGCACACGTATGCACACAGCATGTGTCAATATGTGCACATCCATGTGCACTGTGTGCACGTGCATGTGTTAGCACACGGGACTGATCGTGTCAATCTATTGTATATTAACACGGTACAACAATATAACAAGTACTTACTGATATAAATACATAGAATTGTACACGGTGTACAAAATTTGTTATATATGTAAATACTTAGTACAATAACAAATATTGTACATCTCCCATTGTGTATTGTATTATACCACATATGATTTTAGTGTTCACCAGAGAAGCAAAACCAGAACACTCATAATCCTGTCTGAAAAACCCTAATTGATATAGACTTAAAGTGCTCTGTATGCATATATATTTATTAATGAAATACGTAAGCATATACATATATACCTGTGTTATATACTATATTTTGTTAATATGCATTTATGGGCATGTATACATATAGTATCATATTAATGTACTCACATCCAAACACAAACCCTTAATACATGCACATGGATATATGTGCATATATATATATATATATATATATATATATATATATATATTTCATTATTAATATATTAGCATTAATTATGTCTATAATATATTAATGATGCATTTATAGTATATAATAGTGTAATGTAATACATACTTAATGATATGTATTTAATACATATTTAATGATATGCATTTAATACATATTCACATGCATGTGAATATATCATTTTGGATTAATGTATGCACACAGTCCTACATGCATATATTTGCATATATACATACATGTATAGATTATATCCATATACACACATTGCATATACCCAGGTGTATGTATGTCGTGTTAATATATATGCACATACATGTGTTTATGAACATAAGCTATAATTATATTGGTATTAATCCTGTGGATGTAATGCATTAGCATTTTAATACACATATGTCGTTTTAATATGCATATGTGTGTACATATACATGCATCTATAATATAAATCAATATATTAGTATTGATCTTGCCAATTAATACATTAGCATTTTAATACACATGTATCATGTAGTTTTAATGTGCACACGTGTGTGTACATACACACATGTGCATAGGATATATATGAATATATTAGTATTAATTCTGTCAATGTCATCCACTGATATTTTGTAACCCACTGAACACATTGATGGTCGTGGGTGACATTCACAGCGTATGCACAATGTGTGACAGGCGAACAGCTGTAGGCACCCACACAGTGACGAGCTCACACGGCTGCGCATCTGTGTGTCTAGCACCGCTCTGTCCTGGATGGTGGCCTCTTCTGTGGCCCACGCCTTGGTCATCCCAGTGGCTCTGGAGGCTGAGGCACGAGGATCATGAGTTCAAAGCCAGCCTCCGCCAAAGCGAGGCCTAAGCACCTCAGGGAGACCCTGTCTCTAAATAAAATGCAAAATAGGGCTGGGGAGGGGGCTCAGGGGTCAAGTGTCCCTGAGGTCAATCCCTGTTACCAAAAAGAAAAAAAAAAAAAATGTCTTCCTGCAGTTTAACCTTGAGAGACCAGACTCATCTGTCCAAGCTGCTGTGAAATACTTTTAAAAGTTTTCCTGCAACTGTCCAGAGTGTTGGTTTTTCAAATTCATTTTAAATTAAGTTGAAGGAGACGGTGACCCTCGTTTTGCCCAGAATAATTAATGAAGAGATCACTTTTTTCCCTCCAAAAATTTTGGAGCGTCGGTGCTGCCCTCTGCTGGCGGCCCGCGGTACATGGGGAGACCCAGGTCCTTGAATGAATATCCGGGTTTTGAGGCCTCCTCCCGCGGGCCACGCCCCTTTTCTTAAAGTTATTTTCCTTAAAAGTCTGATGCAAAGGAACCAGGAAGAAAGTGCGCCCTGTGTTCATTTTTCTATCCGTTGCGCAGATTCTGTGGCTTCCCTGTTCATCCATCATAACATCCACGGAAGCTTATTTTTTTGAAGGTCACTGAGGTTTTAATTTTACATTTAAAAATGAATATTATAAAATATGAATATTATGGTCCCTTTACCATTTATTTATCTGGTGTTGGGCATTGAACCAGAGCCGCTTTACCACTGAGCCACAATCCCCAGCTCTTTTTATTTTATTTTATTTTATTCTATTGAGACAGGGCCTCATCCGTTGCTTAGGACCTCACTGAGTTGCTGAGGCTGGCCTCCAACTTGCCATCCTCCTGCCTCAGCCTCCCAATCTGCTCTCTGTATGCTCTACAAGAGCTTCTGTGTGTAACTAAAATCTGCAGATTCCCAAATTTTCCTTGCAAGAAAGGCGACGATCTGGGCAGCAGCGAAAGCGTTGATGATTAAAAACAAAACATAACAAAAGGGGAAAAAAATAGCAAACCAGGCAGAGTGACCTCCCTGCATCCCGAAGGCCACCCAAGTCGCTGGAACTTAATGTGGTTGATGGTCCTGAAAAATCCAATCCCCTCTTTCACCACTTGTCCACTGGGTGGCGCTAGAAGCCAAGCTAATTTTTTTTTTTTTTTTTTTTTCCTGGTCCCCAGGATTGAACCCAAGGTCTCCCCGAGTTGCTTAGGGCCTAAGTTGCTGAGGCTGGCCTCCAACTGGCCATCCTCCTGCCTCAGCTTCCGGAGCCTTGGTTTCTCGCCTTTTGCAGATACGTGAGGAGCTGGGTGGGGACATTCGGATGCGCTGTGTCCCTGCAGCTGCCGACCTCCCCGTGCTCGTCTCTGTTTCCCTCCCAGGACGTGGACCCTCTGCGGAACCCCCGAATACCTCGCCCCTGAAGTCATCCAGAGCAAAGGCCACGGGCGGGCCGTGGACTGGTGGGCTCTGGGCATCCTCATCTTCGAAATGGTGGCAGGGTGAGTGGGTCCCCCTCGCAGACAGTGCGCCTGGCACAGTAGCGCCTCTTGCTGTCCGCCTGTCCAAGAGACATTGCTGTGTATCTGTCCAAGGGACGTTGCTGTCCCCAAACTCGAAAATGCATGCATGCTGGGATGACAGACAGGCTGCTGTGCAGGGGAGGGAAAGGCAGACCCGTGAACAGGGGACCGTCCACCCTGGAGATGTCCTGAGAAGCCCGCGCCTTCTTAACTGTGCTGTCCACCTGGCGCCCAAGGCTGACCTGCAACGAACATGCAGAACAGCTGGCCATGGGCATTGCACACAGTCAGGATAGGTCTCCCGCGTCCCCCAGGTGTGATCCTTGACGGCTGGTCAGAACGTCGGCAGGAGGCCGTGTCCAAACGGTGGGGGGGGCATGAGATACCCCTGTCAGAGAGGGGAAGCCGGTGTCCAAGGCCACGACCCGACCCTCAGAGTCACCTGATTGGGTCTCCTTGGGGTTAGTCACCAGGGGTAGCAACAGCGAGACCCTCTCACATCTCTCTGGTTCCCTTTGGGGACCTGGATGCCCCTGGGAGCTGACAGTGGTCAGGGGCTCCGGTGCTTCCGGCTGCTGTCTGAACTTTGAAAGTTCACCCCTCGCTGCCCAAAGGAGCCTTGGGATCAGACCAACCAGGAGGAGTCCCCCCTGGGAATAGGGAGCAAAACTTAGGGAGCAAATGTGCAGGTCAGACAGAAAGGACATGAGACATGAAGTGTGACCTGGCGAAGGTACCTGTCACCTGTCAATCATCTATCAACCTGTCATCCACTGTCAGTCCACTCTCCTACCATCCAGCCACCATCGGTCCATCCATCTGTCTATCTATCTGCCTCTTCATCTAACTATCCACTCACCCACCCATCCATCCATCCACCCATCCATCCATCCACCCACCCATCCATCCATCCACCCACCCATCCATCCATCCACCCACCCACCCATCCACCCATCCATCCATCCACCCATCCATCCATCTGTCCATCCACCCATCCACCCATCCACCCACCCACCCACCCATCAACCCATCCACCCATCCATCTACCCACCCACCCATCCACCCATCCACACACCCATCCATCCATCCACCATCCACGCATCCATCCATCCACCCATCCACCCATCCACCCACCCATCCACCCATCCATCCACCCATCCATCCACCCATCCACCCATCCATCCACCCATCCATCAACCCATCCACCCACCCATCCATCCACCCACCCACCCATCCACCCATCCATCCATCCACCCATCCATCCATCCATCCATCCATCCACCCATCCATCCACCCATCCACCCATCCACCCATCCATCCACCCATCCATCAACCCACCCATCCACCCATCCATCCATCCACCCATCCATCCATCCATCCACCCATCCACCCATCCATCCATCCATCCACCCATCCATCCACCCACCCATCCATCCATCCATCCACCCATCCACCCCCCACCTGTCAATCATCTGCAGGGCCCCTCCTCCCACTGCACATCTCTGCATCTGACTCTGTCTGTGCCCGTCTCCTGTCCGTCTGTCCCCCCTCTGCTTTCTATCTAATCTCTCTGTATCTACACCATGATCATGTGGAATGTAAGTGACAGAATTTGTACCCAGGCTCCCCTCCATGTGTCTGTCTGCCTGTGGCTCCTGTGCTGTCTGTCACCATCATTACCTGCCTGTCCCCTCTGCACGTCTGTCTCTCTCTGTCACCCTCATCATCTCTCTTTCCATTTGGTTGTCTCTCTGTCACATCGTCTGACATTGGTGACCTGTCACCTACCTACCTGCCCGCTATCGTTCTGATCCCCCCGAATCCTCCCAAGCCCCCCCCTCATGCCCACCCACGAAGTCATCTAGAACCGAGTCCCTGAGCGACCCTAGCCCACGCTGCCCCCTGCCCAGCACAACTCAGGACTCCCTGCTACCCGAGGGTCAGCTCCCCCAGGAGTGCAGCCCGCTGTCCCTCCTGACCAATGCACACAGGGCCGCGTGGCCGGAGAGGCTCCAGCTCCCGGGCTTTTCAACCCACTGAGGTCCCCAGGTCCCGAGTCCTGTTTCTGTTTGGGGGACCCCCCACCCCTTGAGGACGGACTTTCTTTTTTGAACTGTGGTACCACGGATGGAACCGAGGGGTTCCTAGCACCGAGCCCCTGTTATTTCATTTCTCTGAAATGGATTTGAGCAGCTGAAGTGTGCGTGTCAGTCTGTGCAGCTGCTGTAACAGGTTGGCTCAGCCGAGGGTCCCGGGAGCAAGAGAAATGGATCCACCTCACCCTGCAGGGCAGAGGCTGGACCCGGGTCCCAGGCTGAGCTCCCTCCAGGGCTCCAGGGGGGCCCCTCCTGCCTGTCCAGCTCCTGGGCTCCAGGTGGCCCTGGGCTGGTGGCCCCTTACTGCAGTCTCTGCCTCCGTCTCCACGGGGCTCCTCCTCTGGGTCTGTGTCCCCTCCTCTGTCTCTTGGGAGGACACGGCCATTCCATGAGGGCCCCCTGACCCAGGAGGAGCCCATCTCAGGACCCTTCACTAACGACCTCCACAGAGACCCTGTTCCCACACCAGGTCCCACTCACAGGTCCTGGGGTCAAGATGTGGACAGGACTCGCCACTTACCATGGCGTCCAGATGCACTTTTTCTGTGCAGAGTTGCTGAATCTGTGCCTCTGGAGCCTCTGATGACCGAGATCTATCCGTACATTTCTCGTTAAGCACCTTTACAGGTTTATATTTGCATCTTGCTGCTTTACTGCACAGCAGCCAACTTTGTTTGATGTGTTTGTCAGCTTTCCGTTACTATAACAAATATCTATAATAATTATAAAGAAAAAAAGGTTTCTTTTTCTTTTTTGCTCATGGATTCAGAGGGTCCCACCCATGATGGTGCCTGGCCACAGACGCTATCTAACTGAATGTGCATAAGTCGGTACCAATAAAACTTTATTAACAAAACCAGATTCGGGGGCCGGGACATATCACCTTGCAAACCAGATCTCTGCTGCCCACGAGCACCATCTAGAAAGCACTGTTGGTTTACATGACCTTCCCTGGGAGGTGGTGCCCTCTGCCGGGGACCTTCCCAGACAGATGGGCACCCCGCATTCTGTCCGAGAAAAACCATCTGGACCGCATCATCTCTTCCACACCATGATTTCCGTGTGCAAAAAGTAAGATAAAATAACTGAAATAGACGTTTCTTTTTCCAACAGGTTCCCCCCGTTTTTTGACGACAACCCATTTGGCATCTATCAGAAAATTCTCGCAGGGAGGATAGATTTCCCAAGGTACTTGGATTTCAGCACGAAGTAAGTACCCGGCACCCTGCTTGGTGGTTTCTTCTTATTTTTATTTATTTTTAAAGTTTTTGCTGGCAGGGATTGACCTCAGTGGAAGCCCTAAGCAACTCAGGGAGACCCTGTCTCTCAATAAAATGCAGAATAGGGCTGGGGACGGGGATCAGGGATCGAGGGACCCTAGGTCCAAGCCCCAGCACCAAAAAAATAACATAAGAATAAGGATCTAGAGGCCAATGGCCACAGAGTTTTCAAGGTTTTAAATACTTTTCCAGGTTGTCAATCAAGTCTTGAGAGCATCTGAGACCTACAGCACCCAAGTGCTCTATGAGATCAGCCTGTGGTCTCAGGTTCTGAAACCAGAGAGAGCTTCTGTTGTCACTGAGGGTGCACAGCATTACTAATTCCCAGCGTCTCCAATCTTCCGCCACTGTCATTTCCCAGCAGTAGGGACAGGTGCGATTTGCAGCCTAGACCCGGAAGCCTTCTGGGCTTCGGAGATCAGAGATTTCTCTTCTGACCTACTCCCAGTGCCCTAGCTAATGTTAGGAGATTGCACAGTCTCCACCCTGTGCAACAGTCCCAGGGGAAGTTTTGTCACATCTGAAATACGTGGATATCATTAGGCACATGAAGAATTTACGACGGTGACAAATTGTGCCAGAGAATGGGGTCCCCATGATCATGCGCTTGAGGTAGCTGCTCTCACTGTGGCCCTAAGATGGTGTGTGTTGACTGATTCTGTTTTCTGGTCCCCAAACAGAGACCTCATTAAGAAATTGCTGGTGGTGGACAGGACCAAGCGCCTGGGCAACATGAAGGTCCGTACCTCCCTCACGAATGGGCACCAACCAAGGCCCAGGACACGCCATCGCGACTCTCCTGTCATTATTCATCTTTTTGACATCCTGGTCTGATTGATGGGAAGAGAATCCAAAACCCATTGAATGTACCCATTGATCCAGTTCCGTGTGCCCATTTTTTTCCCCCTAGAATCAGGGGAACCACTGACCCCAACCCTAGCCGTTTAATTTATTGATTATTATTTACAGCGGCGCCGCATCACCCTGCTGCGTGGTCTCTGGTCATTCTTGGCCTTAAGCAATCGCACACCTGATTTTTTTTTAACTTTTGTTGGTAGCATCTCCCTGTTCTGGCCCTTTGAATGTGTGGACGTGTAGAAAGAAAGCATCACCTTTTGGGTCTTATTCTATTTTATTGCAGTGTTCTCCGGATTTTGCCTCATCATTACTTTTCCCAGTATGTCTTCCTTATTCATGGCTGAGTACTATTCCACAGTCTCGATGGATGGCACTGTGTCTGTCCATGGAGGTTTCTGCCATGACCACCTCTTAGCGACTATGAGCAGGGCCGTGATAGACGTGGATATTTGTGTGAATTAATCGTTACACTAAAACTCACATGCTGGTTTTATTTTTAATTTTTTAAATTTTTTGAGAAAGAGATTCCTTTGTTCACTACACCTTGAGGTCCCCAACAATTCTTTTATATTTTTTTTTGTTTGGTACCAGGGATTGAACTCAGGGTCACCCGACCCCTGAGCCCCATCCTCAGCCCTATTTAGTATTTTATTTAGAGACAGGGTCTCCCTGAGCGGCTCAGGGCCTTGCTGTGTCTTTTACTCTCTGGATAATGAGGTGTGTGTGTTTGCACACTCGACACACTGACGGTGCCCCTTCCTCCTGCAGAACGGCGCCAATGACGTCAAGCAGCACCGGTGGTTCCGCGCTGTGGACTGGGACGCTGTCCCCCAGAGGAAGCTGAAGGTGACCCTCTTTTGAACATTTCTTACACAACGCAATGATCCCAACCTCTGTAAAACCACTACATTGGCTTCTGGTTGACTATTCCAGATCCCTCACATGAGAGAGAACACGGGGCACTTGTCTTTCCATGCCTGGCTTATGTCCCTTAATAGAAAGTCCTCTGGTTCCATGCATTTTCCTGCAAGCGACATCATTCCGTTCTTCTTTCTGGCTGCATAATATTCCACCGGGCATATGTATCACATTCTCTTTATCCATTCATCCATGGCTGGACACCTAGGTTGGTTAACAGCTGTATCCACGTCTTCAAGGGGTATCTTAGAGCCAGTGACCTTCCCAGGATGGGGTGAAGTGTTTCAGTCCCACTTTTTTTTTTGTGGGTACCAGGGATTGAATCTAGGGGTGCTTAACCCCTGAGCCCCATCCCCAGCCCTATTTTGTATTTTATTTAGAGACAGGGTCTCCCTGAGTTGCTTAGGGCCTCGCTTTAGTTCCCAGCTGCCCCTGTCCATGAACATTGGAAACCTGTCCGTCTTCTTCACGTCCGTTCCCACTTCTATGTAAAATAGCAGAAGGGGAAAAGGGAAACGATATCCTCAGTGTCCCCGTGTCCCCATGTCCCCGTACCTAACTGTGGCTGACCTCCCGCAGCCCCCCATCATACCCAAGTTATGCAGCGATGGCGACACCTCCAACTTTGAGACGTACTCTGAGAACGACTGTGAGACGACTTTGCCGGTGTCAGAAAAAGACTTGGAAATCTTCAAGAATTTCTGAGGATTCGAACTCACGTTTTCGGAAGGTAGGTCTTTAATGGGGTGGCTTACCTCCTTCATCCGTCGGGACTCAAGCAAAGAAGCCAAACCAAGTCTCCCTCATGTGACACACCACCCTCTGAGATTTCAGGGGCCACCCGTCTGAAAAGGTAAAAAGGAAAATTCTAGAAAATGACAATTTATAAATTATCATTTTTTTTTTTCTAATTGCACACTGTTTGGCTCATGTGACAAAAATCTCAGGGCCGACTTCCTGGAATGTGAAAAATGTCTTTGCCCCACGTATCCACCCTTTATATGCTACCTACTCGTTAGTCACTTAGCAGCCATATTGGTTATCAGATGGACAGAAATGAACATTTGCATCTTTCCCCAACTTCTTACAGGGTAGGCATCTTATCAGCCCAAGAAGTCGGGAGCGTACAGTCCGGTAGGGTATTTTAAGAAAAAGGGACCACAGGAATGAAACTTTCATTAGGGTCTATTATCGTAAATGTTATATTTGGAATATGTTCGTTTGGTGGTTGTATTTTATTAGTTATGGTCAGTCTCTTACTGTGCCTGATTTATAAATCAAACTTTCTCATAGGTATGTATATATGGGAAAAAACATAGTGCACGTAGGGTTTGATGCTCTTTGTGACTTTAGGGAACCAAGGATGTCTTGGAATGTGTCTCCGGTGGCTAATTGGGGATCATCAAAATGATAACCAAGGCACAGTGTTTGGCTCAGGACTGTGTGACCCCTAGGATCATAGGATTCAGTCAGTATTTTTTGCTGCTGTGACCAAAACCCTTGAAAAGAACAATTAGAGGAGGAGGAGTTTATTTGGGCTCATGGTGTCCAAGGTTCAGTCCCTGGTGGCCGACTCCATGGCTCTGGCCCAAGGGGAGGCAGAACAAGATGGCGGCAGGGCCTGGAGGAGGAGAGCAGCTCAGAACAGGGCACCAGGGAGCAGAGAGAGCTCCGCTCACCAGGGACAGGGCAGAGACCCCCAAAGGCACAGCCCAGGGACCCCCTCCTCCAGCCACACCCCACCTGCTGCAGTCACCACCCAGTGAGTCCATCCAAGTGGATTAATCCACTATTAGGTTACACCTCTTATAACCCAATTATTTTACCTCTGAATATTGTCTCCCACATAAGATATTGGGGGACACTTTGTGACCAAACCCATTACAGCTTCTTTGAGTCCCTGTCCTCTGTGTCTGTGAGTGAATGTTAAAATACCAGGGACTACCCCATATGGAATTGCTGCGTTTTTTCAAATTTCAAAATTTCTGAGATCTCAAAATTTCAAATCATTTCAAAATGATCTCAAGTCTATTTCATTGAGCTTCTACAGGTCTTTTTTGTTTTTCTTTTTAAATATCAGTCATTGCTTATGCATACGGGATTATGTTCCATGACTGGCCTATGGTGCTCAACATCAGAAAGTACCGAATCCTATGTAAAGTAGAACAATTACAGCATTATACTGTAGTAATATTCCCTGTGTCAGTATCAAATTTGGGACCCGTATTAACTAAAACGAGGGTCGCTAGCGCTGTCGTACCACCGCGACGTCCAGTCTGGTCATGAGGAAAGTTACGAGGTGACTAAAGGGAGGGTAGCATATACAGTGTGGAAACACTGGGCAGAGGTGCTGTTCCAAGGTGGAACACAAGAGGGCGCTGCCCAGTTTGGCACATGATGTTTTTAACATTGTTTTTTTTTTGTGTGTGTGTGGAATTTTCCACTGCTACGTTTGCACCCCTGGGATGACAGTACCCCAGACGGAGGACTCGGGGTCCTGCCTTGTTACTTATGAAAGGGAGACGTTTCTATGACTCTCAAGACGATAACCAGGAGTCGTGTCCAGCTGTGCGCAAACCCTAACTCAATCCCTTGTCCCTCTCCTTCCAGGAACACGTCAGCCTGCCCAGGACCAAGAACTTCACCTCCGTCGGCCCAAAGAAATGCTCTCTCTTGGTGCGAGGAGGACTTTGCGCACTTATGGACGCCCAACTGTATATAGAGGTCGGGGGACAGTTGAGATTTCACGGACGGGGCAATTATGGAAGCGACTGGAACCTTCTCCTGCGCCGTAGGAAACGGGTTGTGGGGGTTTTTAATCGTAACCTGTTAGCAGCTGTGCTTCTACTGTGCGTTGGTTGGTTTTCTTGGACTCGAACCTGCAACCAGACCCGCCGGCTCGTAACCACAGGTTGTGCGTGTGTGCGTGCGTGCGTGCGTGAGTGTGTGCGTGCGTGTAAGGGCTTCTCCTTGGCCAAACCTATTCTTTTCAGTTTTTAAAAATCCTTTGAAAAAGAAATGGGTCGCCTCGGAGACAAAGCTCAAATCTATGATGGGTGCATTTAAAAAAAAAATAATTCCCCTAACACCGTCTATGCATTTTATAGATATTTATGGAGTTTTTCTTCCATATCGATGGGACTTTCTCTCTGGACGCTTTACACTTTGGAAATGCAAAACGGAGAGGGTGCGGATTGGAGCAGCCGGAGACGTGCTAAAAATTTGGAATGCAATCTTGACTCTTTTTTTTTTTTTTTCTTTTTAATGCCTTTGGGGGATTGAACCCGCTGTGCCTGAGCTCCACGCTCGGCCCCCATCTCTGAACGGTTCATCAGAGAAGGTTCTGGACTTAGAAGATAATGTCTCTTCCTGGCCTTTGCCTCCCAAACTCAATCTATTGATTCATTTAATAATTAATCTGTTAGAAATAAATCAGCCAGCTGTCTGTATACCTGGAGTGTCCCCTGTGAGCAGAGTAACAAATGGTACCTGGACACATGAGTCCTGGGGACTCCCTTATTTTTTGTGCCAGGGATTGAACTCAGGGGTGCTTAACCACAGAGCCCTGTCCCCAGCCCTTTTTTATATTTTATTTAGAGACAGGGCCTCCCTGAGTTTTTTAGGGCCTCCTTTTGGCTGAGGCTGGCTTTGAGCTCACGATCCTCCTGCCTCAGCCTCCTGAGCCCCTGGGATAACAGGTGGGTGCCTCCGCACCTGGCTAGGTTTTTATTTTATTTTATTTTTTTTATCCACCCATTTAATACTGGAAAAAAAAAAATCCAATGTGCAGAATCACGGGTGACCGGATTCTTCCGTGAGATTGCAGTCAGCCCCCCGACGATGCAGAGCAAGTTAGACACTAAGAGGAAATCCAGCAACAGGGGACACTGTTATCGCCAACGTTGACAGAAACCTCAGGGGCATGTGCCTTCTCTAAGGACTGGGCCACGGTCACTGGATGTGGCCTCAGGTAGAGACCGATGTCGTTGACCCCAATCACGCACTTGGAACCACTGTTTCATCTCATCCCCAAAGAGTTGACTCTGTGGGGACCTTTGCAAAATTTCCCGATAGGCATCCAACCTCATCCGGGTGCCAAGAGTCAAAATAAAATACGTGCAACTTTGTATCTGCAAAAGGCCCAGGGGAGATGTTGCTTTTTATTTATTTTTTTTTCTTTTATGATTTATGAATCGGCAGCATTTTGTTCAACAGGAACAGCTTCAAAGATAGAGATTGGCAAGAAAAAAAAAATAGAGATATATACGGCCCAGGGGGGATCCCCGTTTCCCCAGGGAGAAGTCTCTCCTCTTGCCTTCTTGCTTGTGCATGGAGAAATTCAGGAAGGAAATAAAAGGATCACAGGGAATTTAACACCCAAATGCCACAGAATCTTGCATTCGTGTCCTGCAAGCAGATGCACAATCACTGGATCATAAATCAATTTTTTTGTTTGTTTGTTTGTTTCATTCTGTGCACCTTAAAAGATCAGGTGATTCCAACTCACTTTTTCAGAATGCCCCCCTGGGGACAGTGACATTTTCGCACACCTTTGCCACACGCCGTCACCTACGTTGCCTGCAACTTTTGGGACCATTTCAACTGTGAAACCGGCTCAGGACTGTTCATAGTGGACCCCAAGCCTTCACGGCCGAGGCGCCGGGGGGGCACCCCAGGACTTGCAGATGGGTCCCCCCCCCCCACGTCTGTCAAAGTCACTGGGTTGACAAAGTGCTTTTCCGAGCATGTCGACATTTTTTTTCCTGTCGAATTTGCTTTTGCAAAAACCACTGGGTCTTATGTCCCCCGGGACCCTCTTCCCTGAGAACAGGAGGACGCCCTGTGATTTTTTTTTTTTTTTTTTTAAATAAGTTTTCATGTTGTAAACTCTGTTCACTGTGCAGTTCGTCCCTTTTGTGGAGGGGTCTGTTATTTAAGTTAAAAAAAAAATCACTCCACGACGTGGGTGGGATGGGAAGCCCTCCCTCAGGCCGATCTTGTCATTGGATATTAATTTTTGCAATCCTGCACAACTTACAGCTTGAGTCTTTGTGTGTGTGTGTGTGTGTGTGTGTGTGCGCGCGCGCGCTGTGTCTTGTGCTCTGGGCACACGTAGGTCCTCGGTGCACCCTTTGCAGATCTGGCGTGTGCACCCTGCAGGGCGCTGGGTCCCAGATCCTCACGAGGAATTCCAGAAGCCTGTTTCTCGTCCCGCCGATGCATTGCACAAAGGAAATCACTGTGATTTGTGTGTGTGTGTGTGTGTATATATATATATATATATATAGGCCCTAGGAAAATTTTACTGCTAATTTATGGAATAATATTATGGATTCCAGGTTTTGTTTAATAATAATAATAAAATAAAAACTTTGTATCTTTTAAGAAATCTGAATCGGCTCCTCTGCTTCTGTCTGAGAACCTACGTTCTGTCGGTGCTAGGGTCGAATGAGGGGTCAGAAGTCAGTAACTGGTTTCATCTTGGCAAGACACAGTGGCTCTTTCGGGTAGGATGCACAAAGGAACCGTAGGTGGTTTGTAAAGGATGGTCACAGCTAAGTTTTATTGACAGCTGCAGTTGAAAAACAGCCCAAAGAAGACAGCAACCCATTTGTCTGTGTCTGGCTAAACAGATAAATACAGGGCGGTGTATCCATGCAGTGGAATATTATGCAGCCTTCAAAAGGAAGAGAATTTGGAAACTGGGTTCAGGATGGGTGAGCCCCAAGGACCTCACGGTCAGTGAAACCAGCCTCACACAAAAGGACAAGCACTGCAGAGTCATCAAGCTCAGAGACAGAAACTAAAATTGGGTAGTTACAGGGGCTGGCAGAGGGAAAATGGAAAGTTATGAATTCCAGTTTCACAAGTTATAAAACTCTGGTAGGGATGGTGCCACGACAGTTAAGAATATTCTTAAGCACAGTGGTTTAAAGGCTTCAAAATTATTAAGATAGGCGGGAACAGTGGTGCACCACTATAATCTCAGCAGCTCAGGAGGCTGAGGCAGGAGGATGACAAGTTGGAGGCCAGTCCTGGCAACTTAGCGAGGCCCAAAGCTACTTAGCAAGAACCTGTCTCAAAATAAAAATAAAAAGGGCTGGGGATGGGGCTCAGTGGTTAAGCACCCCTGGGTTCACCACCTCCCCCCCCTCAAAAAATAGAGAAATAAAAAAGAACAGGAAAACAAGGTTAAGATGCTACTCTTGATGACAATGACATTTTTAAATTTAAAGAATGTGTCCATCTTGATCTTTGTCTCTGTGAACAAGTCTTTCTCAGTCAGGTAACAGAAAAAGTCAACATGAACCGTCAGCAAATCGTGGGGACACACAGGAAGTCCCCAGTCTCAGCAGGGACCCCATAACCACGCCCCTTAACTGAGACCTTCCTGATCAGTCCCGTAACCACGCCCACTGTGGCCACGCCCCAGCATAATTAGACTCCTCTTAATCATATGCCACTATAACCACGCCCAGTGAGACCACGCCCCACCATGACCACACCCACAGTGGCCACGCCCTGCTGTAAACAGCCCCAACATAATCATGTCTCACTGTATCTATGCCTTAACTATAAGCCATGCCCCCAATGAGGCCACACCCCCACCGTGGCCACACCCACTGAGGCCACGCCCTGCTATAAACAGCCCCATCCTAATCAGGTCTCAGTGTAACCACGCCTTAACCATAACCACGCCCCAATGAGGCCACACCCCCATAACCACACCCTGCCACGCCCCACTGTGGCCACGCCCGCACCTGAGTCACACCCATGGTGACCTCTTCTGCAAGGACTTCTTTTTTATTCTTCTTTCTCCAGGGCTGGGGGATCGACCCCTGCGTGCCAGGCCAGCCCTCCAGCCCTGACCTACATCCCCAGACCATTTTATTTTTATTTGAAGGCAGGGTCTTCCCAAGTTGTCCACGTTGGCCTTGAACCCCTGATCCTCCAACCTCAGCCTCTCAGCTGGCTGGGATTCACTGTGCCCAGCTCAGCGGTACTGAGGTAACTATATTGCAGTGTCCACACCATCATGGATCAAGACACGTGTGGCGTTCGTACTGGGAAAATGACCTTCATCGACTTAAATTTTCTGGAAATAAGAACACATGTTTTATAAGTTTTGTTTTGCTTTGTTTTTGCTTATTATTTATTCTGTACGGAGCCATTCCCAAACACAACCAGAAATCATGATTGTTTTTTCTTCCTTTTTTGGTACTAGGGATTGAACTCAGGGGCACGGACCCCCATCCCCAGCCCTATTTTGGATTTTATTCACAGACAGGGTCTCCCTAAGTTCTTTAGCACGTTGCTGAGGCCGGGCCTCCTCCCTCAGCCTCCCGAGCAGCTGGGGTAACAGGCATACACCTCCGCGCTCTGCAAACATGACCTGTCTTTCCGGTTTGCTTTTCTTCTGTTTTTTGAGGGACACGGTGCATCTGTTTCTATGTCCTGAGATTTTGCCTCCTGGGCCAGAAGAGAGAGGCAGGAAGGCCCGACAAGGGACTTCAAGGTGGGCCTCCGCAGGGTGTGAGTCGGAGGCCCCGGAGGGGAGCAGGCAGCCTGGCGGGATGACTAGGAACTGGTGGGTCTCCATCACCCTGCAGAGAGCCGATGACACTCAGTGGCAAACTCTGGGGTGGACTCTCTCCTGGCCTTAAAGAGGAAGGCCGGGGGAAGTTGCTCGTGAATACAAGCGGCCAAGGGACGCTGGCCAGCAGTGGGGGTCCCTCGTGATGGGTGCTGGGGAATGTGCACCCAGGGTTTCCCTCGAGCTCGAGCTGTCACCCATACAGGTCTCAGGGTGAACAACTCCCTGTCCAGCACCCAGAAGACAGAGCCCGCCATGCTGGGGGGGAAATTCGGGGCTGTCACAATTGTGCACATGGTTAGCATCTAATAGGCAGAGACCAGGGGCGCGCTCAGCACCCCGGGGGGCACCAAAATGGTCCTCCAGGCCAATCTGCTGGCCCCAAAGAGGACGATGCAGGTGGACAAAACTGAAGGACACAAAACTCCAATCTCTGCCTCCTGTCTTCTCCACCCCCATAGAATGACCTGGTCCATTCTAGTCTGTAAATTTCTTGTCTTTGGTCGTGGGTGACAGTCGAGTGCATTTGGAGGGATCCCACATCCGTGGGGTGTAACTTCCCTGCCCTGGGCTTCGACAGGGTGCCTCGTCCCTCATTAACTTATTTCTCCCCCTGCACCCGGATCCCCACTCCTGGCACCCTGCCATTGTCACACCCCCAGGGACATCTGTGGAACATGTGTCGCTAGGGACGCCTGTGGTTTCTCTCTGTCTCTGTCTCTCTCTCTTTCTCTCTATAGTTCAACACAATCTGGTGTTTGGTGATTGAGGGGCACTTGTGACCAGCATCAGAACAGGAATTAGCTGTGGCTTTGTTCCATTGTTTTATGGGGACGATACCTTGGGTTCTGCATTTCAATCATGGTGACCGGCTGTAGGGACCTTCAGCCACAAAGAGAGAGAGAGAGAGAGACCCGGCAAGTCTGGGTCAAGGGAACTTTATATTCTAGCTTTGGACCATGTATTAAGAGGAAGGTTTATTTGGACTGAAGCTTCCGCGGTCTCAGTCCATGACACGGCAGACACATTCCTTTTCAGGCTCCATTGGAGAGGGTCACATCATGGTGGCAACATGTGCTCAAGCAAACCTGTCCAAGTAATGTCTAGGAGTGGAAAGACAGACAGAAGAAGAGTCAGAGGTCCCAGGAGCCCCTTCCAGGCCCCGCCCCCATAGCCCCTTGCGGGCCACGCCCCCAATGACCTAGCTTACTCCCACAAGGCTCCACCTCTTAAAGGCTCCACCACTTTCCACCACCATGTCTCCAATAGCCCCTTGCAGGCCACGCCCCCAATGACCTAACTTACTCCCACTAGGCTCCACCTCTTAAAGGCTCCACCACCTTCCAACTTGGGGACCAAGCCTTCAACACGAGCCCTGTGGGGGGATTTTTAAGATCGAAACCATAGCGACAGACACATGCCAATCAACACAGACATACCATCTCTTTCTTTTTTTTTTTTTTTTTTTTAGCAGATCTCTATAAAAACTGAGTTTTCCAAATTCTTGTAAATTTACATATTTTTTCTGCTGCAACCAGGACGTCTCTAAAGCAGGAATCGCCTACATTATCTCCGTCACAGCACGTACCTTGTACCTCCCCTTGGCCATTCCCGTGCCCATATCTAGGGAGGGATATCTTATTAAAAGTGGATTTGCCTTTCTCTCATTGGCCAGATACACACTCAAGTCAGACTCTGGCCCTCGAGGCCACTGTTGAATGAAAGAAAATGTCCCAGAAAATTGAAAAGCCATCGAACGTATTCATTCAGACGCTTCCCCTTCCCTCACAGAAGTGAGCTCCACCTGGACAAATCCTCCATCTGCCGTCCAGAGTGGCTGACCTCTTATGATACGACCTTAAGGTAAAGAATTAGGGGAAGCTTGCGTGTGTGTGTGTGTGTGTGTGTGTGTTTCCCAAAACAAACAATAGTTCACTTCTCTGAAACTTCAGGACGCAAGAATCCCAATGAACAGAACTAGGATAAGGCTTCGGGCTGCGGTGTAGCTCAGAGGTAGAACTTTCCCAGTGTGTTCAAGGTCCTGGGTTCAGCCTGCAGCATTGGAAAAAAAAAAAAACACCACCGGTTCTTATCTCCCAGTGGTCTCCGCACCTCCTGGGAAATCCGTGGCGTTTGTGTGGTGCATTGTTAACCTGCAAAGGATGAGCTCAGAGAATGTCCGGAAAAATACAAGTTTAATGTTTTTTTTTTTGTTTGTTTTTTTCCTCTCTGTCTCTCTCCAACGTGAGGCATTTCCCAACTCCAGGCTCAAACTGCGTTCAGAGAAGAATATTCCTTTGTGAGCAGAGCACCCCCAGGCCCCCGGGCAGGTGGACAAAGCAGCCATTGTCACGGGCAGGTGGACAAAGCAGCCATTGTCACGGTTCTCTTAAGATACAGCGACCTCCCTCCTGCCATGAATGGAGCTTTGTTTTCCGACTTTCAAGATTTACCTTCTTTAACTCCGGGGCCTCCTGACAGAGCACAGCCCTGCCCCCCGCTGCAAGGCCCCTCTGCAAACCCTGAGCCTCGCCATTTGCAGTCACTGCAGAAAAATGTCACACCTGTCAATCACAGTGACAGGCAGGAGCTTACAGAAGGGGTGGAGAAGGGACAGAGGGGTCCTCTCAGAGAGGACAGGGACACCGTGCCCCTCCTGCCCTCCAGTTTTATTGGGGTCCCAGGGAAGGCTCTAGAGAGCCCCTCCCAGGTCCCCTCCTGACTTTGACGGACAGCAGGGTGACCTCCGACTCTCCAGTCCCCAGGGCCATGGCCACTCTGGGTCACCCTGGCCCCTGCTG